CTGGATCTGATGGTTTGATGTGGGCTGGTTTCTGAGTTACTGATGAGACTTACCACTGGGCTTTTCCTACACTGGGTTTGTGAGGGGCAGTTCTCTGTGGGCCAAGTAGTCGTGGGGAAAGAGTGTGACCTGAGGCGAGAACACTATAGATGTGTTTCTTCTGGATGGAGCGCCCCCCGCCCCCGCCCGCAGCTTGGCTGCCCAGTGAGGTGAGCACAGCTGCTGGGAAGGGCATCGGCAGTCTTGCCCTGGAAGCCAGTCAGGTGAAGGAAAAGAGGTGGCAGAAGGTCTGCCTCTGGTGTTTGGTGATTGGAACTGTGCAGAAGAGAGAGCCCGGCTGCACGGGTGGGGAGGCAGGGAGCGCAGCCGCAGCTTAAAGCTGGGGGGAGAACCTGAGCGGGCGGCCGGGGGTGGGGAGGAGTACCGCCCGGGGGTCGCTGTGGCAGGGCGGGGCCTGCATCTTCCACAGGGTCTCAGAGCCAGCTTGGGCTGCCCTCCCGTGGACTGGCTCCCTCCAGCAACCTCCATGCAGTCCCGAAGCTGTCATTTTGTTTTAGTGGCATTTATTTTCACAAGATTGAAACCCTAAAGTTTTGCAGAGAATCTTGCCAGGTTCGGTGTTGTAATGGAAACTAAATGTTTTCTGAAAAGTTAAAGGAACTTTTAAGCATTGAAAGTAAGTGACACAGTTTACCGCCGGGGGTGAAGCGTTTGCCCCTGGGGCTTGGACCGGGCGTTTCCCAGCTGTGTGGTGTCGGGCGCAGGGCTTGATCCTTTGGAGCTGTGGACTCGGGCTCCAGAGCCGAGAAACTCGGGAGTTGAACGACGGCAGCAAGTGCTCGATGGCCTTGCTCAGGAGACATGAGCATGTTCGGTGGTGCGGCAGTGCCTTCGCCGTCCCGTGGCCAGGCTTCCTGCGGCCACCGGCCGTCACTCCGTGTCCTGGGCCTGCCCGCCTCTCCTGGGAGGGGCAGGGCCTTTCTCCTGAGTCGCCTGCGGTGCAGGGGGAGCTGCCGTGGGGAGACCTGGCCTTGCGGGGCGGGTGTCAGAGCTGCCGGTTTTGGGGGGGAGCCAACACAGCCCAGAGGGCTTGTGTGTGTCCATGTCTCTCTAACATTGTCACGTTTGTTTTGAAATGGATTTGGATTTTTTGAGCGTGGGAAGGGCACCCTGGCTAATGACATTTCACGCTTTGGAAAATGAGGTGTAGAGTGGCAAGGATTTTGCTTGCTTTTGCTGATTTTCAAAGCCAAGGTTCTTGCACAGATCATTTTGGGCCCAGAAGAGCAGTTCTGACTGGGGAGCGGTGGCCCCCCCGGGGATGTTGACTGCCTTCCCCAGGGCTGGGGCAGGGGACAGGCCTTCTGTGTGCCGTTTCCCCTTGACGTCTGCTTCCTTGGGCCTTTGTGGCCCTTGCTCCTCCCCCTCTCTTTGTCCCCTTGTGTTCTCAGATGTGATGAAGGATCGCCTAGAGCCCTGGTGACTTTTAGAAGACTTCACCCTGACACGGGTGTTGAGAGTTTCAAGAAAACGCTCAGTGGGCTTTTATCTGAATCTTGCTGCAGGAGATGCTTATGTAGCAAATATATTTAAACCGTGTGTGCGTGTGTGTGTCTAAGTGTGTGTTTGAGTAAAGGCTGCATTTCCATACTGCTTGCAAATATTTTCTTCCAGAGGTTTGTTTCTTGCCAAAAATTTAAAATTTAATATTACAGCTTAGTTTTTTCTCTTTGATCTGATACGTTGGTCTCACTTTTTTGCTGTTTTTCCCCCTTTGCTTCACTTGTGTAAGCCCAAATAGCTTAAGTTTTCTGTGAATCTCAGCTGAATGGCCTTACTTGGCTATTAAGTAAATCTTACTGATGGGTTTTCTCACTTGGGCTCTACGTGTTCGCTTCAGGTAGAGAATTTTCTAGCAGATAAGCTCTTGGACAAAAGTTTATTGTTCCTTAAAGCTATCATTAAATTTTATTTAGTCTATAATACTTTTATTGTTTCTGAAACCATTTTCTGGTTCTATAATATGATCATCATGCTTTTGAGTGCTAGCCTAAATTTAAAGAATGATTTCAGCCTAGGACATTCTGGCAGCATGGTCTTTAATCTGGCAAGGAGTCTAGAATCATCTAGTTCCAAACACGTAATTTTCTTAAACAGTGCTATCAGATATTTAGATGATTTCCAAGTTTATTATGAAATAGTCTTTAAAAAAATATTTACTACCAGCAGAAGCATATCTAGATAATAATTTAATCTAACTAGTGTGCATACCAGAACACACAACAGCGTTTGGAAAATGTTTCATGAGTTTTCAGATAAATTATTTCAACCAAACCATCATCCCTGAGCTCCTAGCGATACAAGGCGCTAGGCATGCTTTTTGTTTTAAAACAGACCTAAGTCCACTGGACTCAGAATGTCTCAAGTATTGATGGCCTGCAGATGCCTTGGTAGTGGAGTTGAGACTCATGCCGTGGCCATTATCCCTTCCTTCTCAAGTGACGCGACCAAGGACGTCGCCCAAGTGCTGCAGGTTGGGCGCAGGAGTGGTGCAGAAGGTGCCGCCTGCAGGGGCCAGCCTGTGGTAAGTGGGTAGAGCCACCCTGGGAAAAGCCAGTGGCACTACTTCTGCAGGACCCCTCCCTCCTCCTGGTGCCGCTCGCCGTTCGGACGTATCTCGACAAGGCACGCGTGAAGTTCCCATCGAGAAAAGGAACATGAGTGAACGGGGCCGACACTTTTTCTTTCTAGGGACCCTGATTGCCACAGAATCAGGGCAGTATCCCCCATTTTTCTTTTCCCTCTCTTTTCTGCTCCCCAAACACACATCCTTCCCATCTACCTTATTTCAGTCTCACCTCTACAAATGCAGCAGTGGATTAATGTTTTTTTAAGAAAAACACAGCGTTTCACGTACTGTGTGGAGTGCTTCAGAGTTGATTCCTACCGGGCAGCTCATTCTAGAAGGATGCCTTTGTGTACCTCTCTTGCAGACTTAAGATTGTGAAACACCTTCATGGGGCCACTGCTAGGGTGTCACATTTGATGTCCAGGGTCCTGGAAGAACTTAGTCGTGGCTCCCGACGAAGAAGTAGACGTTTCTGTAATTAACCATCATTAATAGACTGGTTCACTAATAGTCTGCAAGTAAAAATGCTAGCTTAAAAACTTAAGAAAAGATCCATAGTGCCCTCTCCTTGAGGGGACTTCCTTTGCTTCAAGTACAAAATCAAAATTGCTTCCTTTAATGTGCAAGGCCCGGTGTGGCCAGGCGGCCCGTCCCCTCTGCCTCTCCTTCTGCCATCCTCGCCCACCTGCCTCAGCCCCCCTGCCCCCCTTTGTTTTCCATCACTCTGCCGAGTCCCCTTCTGCCTGGGGAACGTGCAGTGCCCAGTCCCTCTGCTGGAATATCCTTCCCACTGACCCTCCCCCGCCCCCCCTTGCCCCTTTCTGTCATTCGAGCCTTTGGGCAAACAGCCTCTCAGAAGACTTGCCCAATCTAAAGCAGCCACTCAGTCATTTCTCTCAAGTGAGGCTATTTTGTTTTTGTTTCAGCAGCACGGGCTAGTAGGTGGAATTATCCTGTGTGTTTGTTTTCTTGTTTACTTCCTGTTCTTTTCTGGGATATACCAGGAGGGCAACGACTTTTTCTTTTGGTCTCTTTTGATCATTGCCGTACTCAGTGCCTCTGCAGTATGTACTTAAGAATATTTATGAAGCAAATGAAAAAGGTTTGTGAAGGTCCAGGGGAACAGGCCTTTGTTGACAACTCTCTCCTGCCTGGTGATGCGTGCATCTAACTCTCCCAACTCGAGGAGTCAGCTCCGAGGTCTTCCTGGTGTCGCAGGGGAGTTCGGTGGTCCCTGCTTCGAGCTGGCGTCCCCCAAGGCGGCACTGATCAAGCACACAAGCCTGTTTTCCAGGGCTCGAGCAGTTCAGGGGCTGACTGAGCACCCGGGAGACCAGGCTGCCACCCTGCCTGAATGCTTGCGTGTGCTCATGTCCTGCGGCTTCTCGGCGGGTGCGTGCGATCCAGCCCCTTACCTTCAGGAGAAAGCCGGGGGCCTTGCCTACCAGCAGCCCTGCTGTGGGGCCTCCATTGCTGCATGGGCCACTGGGGAGATTTCTAGGCCGGAAGGTGTGTTGCTTGGTGTTTTCTGCCCAGTCCTTGCCCTGGTGCCTGGGGGAAGGGAGCTCTGGGAAGTGGACTGCGCCGCCTCTCCTCCAGAGGCCCTGCGGTGGGGAGGAAGCGCTTGGCGCCACAAGGGGTGGCCTCCAGCCTCGCCCCCAGGCCTCCACAACTCCTGAGCCGGCAGATCCCAAGCAGCGCAGAGTTAACTTGTGTGCCTCTCTCCAGTTGGGTTAACACAGCCATTATTTTGTTCCAAGTCTGCAGATCGACTCATTAACAATTACTCACTAGCTACTTTGCCAGAGGTTTGAGCACGCAGTGTTTTGATACGCGAAAAATGCTTGTCAAACGCTTGTCGCAGTTGGTCAACCTAAAGTCTGATTTCGAATCACGTAGCTCACTTACTGCTCAGTTTCATCTTGTCAGTTCCGATCTGAGCCAGAGCTGTAAGAAGTAAAGCCAGAAGAAGAACTGTCTTTCCTGCCACAATTTTTAAATAAAATAAAGTAAAAAACACTCTCTGGCTTTTCAGCATTCCAGTGTGATTGGAACGGTTACTGTCTTATATCAACATGATTCTTGAGCAATTACTTATCTGAGCTGGTATTCTTAAGTGAACAGCAGAATTTTAAGAATTTTGATGATCGTTGAGTCTTGAGGTGGCTTCCGGGCGGATTGAACCAGAGCAAGGTGGTATTTAGTGGTTTCTGCTCTGGCTCCTAGTCAACTTGATGTAGTTGACTTGAGTGTTTTCTGGCTAATGAGAGTTATGGTAGTTTTAAGCAAATGTGGCTTGAATGTAAACTAGAGAGAAGTTTAATTATTGGCAGGTCACTGGCAGTGACGAATTGTTTTTCTTCCTTTTTAGTTACACATGGGAAGCTGTTGATACCAAAAACCACATGCTTTACACAATCAGTGTCTGTGGAAACGTGAGCATTGCCCAGTGTGGGACATCCAGTGCTGTTTGTATGCACAACCTGAAGACAAACAGCTATCTTTCCGTGGGTGAGTAAATCTGTCTTTAAAGTACTGGATGCACATGATCCCAATTTTTCAAAAATGACTGTGTGTATATCTGGCTATCTACACAATTATGTATACTTAAAATACATGATGCATATTTTGTGTTTTATCGTAGTTAAAAGTGGTAACAATTGAAATGTCCACTATGAGCTCAAATTAGGTTATTTCCTTCTAGGGCAGTGATTTTCAACCAGTGGGCCACAGAATTTTTAAAACAGTCAACACCTGACAACATATTAAGTCAGGGGCACTAGCATCTTTTCCCTTAAATTATCAAGTGAAAAAAAGGACAACAGCCAACACAACAATAGCCATTGGTGTGAATGAATCAAAATTATACCTATTTTTTGTCAGATCGGCAAAAAAAAGATTTTTTCTGGTGTGTCTCCGAGTTTTAGTAATTAGTGTATGTGTGCCATGAGATGGAAAAGGTTGAAAATCGCTGATCTAGTGGACACTGTGTGTTCTGTTGTTGGGAAGAGTTATGTGCCTTCGTACTTCCTGACGTAGAACGATGTATCCTGTGTGCTCTGCCTTTCTCATGCTTCTCTTAATCCCTGTCTTCACTCTTCTCCCTCCTTCCCTGTATTTCCTCTGGTGTCCAGCGCTTTCACCCGGTCACGCGCTGCTTTCCTCTCTGGTCCCTCCATTCTCACGCCATCTATTCGCATGGGGGTCGAAGGCGGTGTTTGGTTTTAGGCCTACACTAAAAACTAACTAGTCCTAAGAATGAGCAGTCATAGAGACAGAAGGGTGAAGCTTCCTTTCCTAGGGCAGATTTTACCTCCCTGTGTGCCCTCCTTTGGGAACCGGGTCCTGTCCCCGGGGGAGGATGACGGGCCCCAGGGGACTGGCGCCCCCACCAGGCAACACGGAGCGGGGAAGGGGCGGGTGCCTAAAGCCGAGGTGCAGGGCAGGCGTAGAACAGCTGGTGTCACTGTCCTTGGTTGGCGGCGCGGGTGTCCGCCGGGGTAGCCTGACGGGGGTGGTAACAGTGAGGGCAGTCGTGAAATGGAGACGGCCTGGGACTGCGGTGGCCAGAAGAGGACACTCGGAGGCTTTTGGTGTTGGAGGGGCACTGTGCTGTGGTCGCCGTGCCGGCCATTTTGAAAAGAAATGCGTAACATCGTTTAAAAAAGCTTTTTAGCAAGTACTGTTGTAGTTTTGTCTAATGAAAGTATGTCTTCTAGTTTGTGGTTGTCTAGCGTCGCGTAAGGTGACATAGAGGGACGCCAGATGCAGACAGGTCACGGGAGGGTGGCGTGGCTGGACAACGCTGGAGAAGGACCGGCGCCTGGCGGGAGAGGTGACGTGTTCTGGGTGGGGAGCGGGTTTATTTCAGATTCTCTGCCGTGGTCGCGGGAGTAACCTGATAAAAGGCGGGCTTGGAAAGCGGGACCCCGTGGACAGCAGAGCGTGGCTGAAGGAGAGAGGCTGAGGGTAACCAGAGGAGCTGGAAGCTGAGTTGCAGGTTGATGATGACAGAAACCAGCAGTTTCCAGGCGTGTTTTGCTCCCAGACACACGTGACGTGCTTCCCCCAGACCTCAGACTCCTGAAGGGAGACGGCCGGTCTGCCGCCCGAACCTCCCGGACCCCCTGGCGGGGCCCTGACTGCCCCGCCCTCGGCCCAGAGGGCAGACGGGGGTGGGGGGCACGTCGAGGTGACACCAACGGGAGCTGAGGGAATTTTAAATTAGATCTAATCTTGCTAATTTGTGTCATACAGTAGACTACATTTGTTATTATAACCAGTGCTAGATGTTACATTTTTAGGTAAACTAATCTCATTTCATTCATTCAGCAGCTTTTTGAAGTAGGTCATTTCATTTCCCTCGTTTTGTGAATGAAGACACTGAAACACAAAATGGACACACCACTCGCCAGAGGTGGCGTGGCGGTGAGCGTGGACACCAGTGGGCCTGCTCCGCGGCCTCTGCCCTTGTTCTGGGCCACGCGGTGTGAGCGTCACGGAGACCCTCCAGGCAGTGGTAGAGTGAAGGTGGGATCCAGGGCAGGAAAGCTAAACTCCTGAGAAACTGCCTCCTAAGAACTCGCCAGAAGAGGAAAAAATGTGAATTTTGACAATAGTCACAAATACTCTTCCCAATAAATCAGAGGAACGGGAGAACTACTATGGCAGTAGGTCCAAATATATTCACCAGAACTTAATTAACGTCATCCAAACTTCGGGTGTAATTTAGGTATTTACCTGCTAGCAAACAGCATCAGCACTCTTCTTCATATTATGTAACAGAAATGACACATCACTTAAAATCAGAAGTAAAAATGCAGTAGAACATTAGGGAAAAAACCTAGAAAAATAGAAATATCATCTGGGGGAGGTAAAATCTTCTCTTAATAAAAGATAAGACCAACAACCTGGGAGAAAAATTGCCAGTCTAGAATGGGCAGTTCACAGAGGAAATCCTGGTGGTCAGCACAGCTTCGTTAGCAAGCCAGGTGTAAAAGCAAATCAAAGCACTAATGAAATCTCATTGTTCTTCAGTCAAATTGGCAGGAGTTTAAATGGTTGCATCACACGGTGTTGGCACGGAGCCTGGAAGCGGGCACATTCAAACAGGGCTGTGGGAGGCGGCCGTCCACAGCCTTTTGGGGAAGATCACTGCTGATGGGAATTTCGTAGTGCCTGCAGCGCAGTTTTTACACTTAGAAATGAATATGAAGACCTCAACTTTGGTTTAAATAATATTACATTATTTTTGATTAAAAAATTAAACACTAGTTCCTCTTTAGGCAAACGATACTGTGAGATATGTCAATCCGGCACAGTTTAGCAGTCATTTTTATGGGGCCTGTAAGGAACACTTGGTTCCTTTTACAACCTAGATGAATCATCTTCACCACATTTTAAAATGACTTGTATATCTTATATATTTGATTTCTTTTTAAAATATTTCAGATGTGCGATCTGACAATTAAAAAGCGCTAACAGTAATTCTTAAAAATATAATACTTTAAACTTATAAGTATGATGAACTTGAAATTTTCTTCGTCTAATACACTGTCACAGTCTAAATCAATTGCTCAGTTTTAACCTTTGAATTGGGAGTTGTAACGTTAAAACATTGCAAGTATATAAAAATATTGAAAATGTTCACATTCCTCCTAACATCTTAAATATTAGTACTACGGTTTCAATTTAAGTAATCTGAGGGCTAAACGCTCCACATAGCCACTTCAGAAAGCCTGTTACCAGCCCATGTAACTGAGGTGGTGTGCCCACTAGGGAAGAGTGTTCACTGAGGTCAGTCACCACCGAGGCCTGGGATTCTGGCTGCCTTCCCCGTGACCTGGGTTGGACCCAGCGAACCCACCCGATTGTCGTGGCTGAGTCCAGTGCCTTTGCTCGCGAGCCTGGCCCTGACTTCAGGCGTTGCTCCTCGGGGGTGACTCTGCTGCACTTCCAGAAGTCGACCGCCAGCCTCCGGGTTGGTCACGGGGTTGGATTTTGTGTCTCTGACTATTCAGATGTGAAAATGTCTTCTTTTCCTCTTAAGCCTTGTATTCCTTTGTTCTTAAAACCATGTAATTCTATTGGACATTTTAAGATATTGGGTTGAGTTTTAGATAGAACTTACGTTTTTGTCCCATTTCTCGTCTCTCCTGATAGTCTGGCCGTATGTTAAATTTTAAAGCATATTGCTGTATCCTACTTTTGTAAACCTTACCAAGAGTGGAATTAGTTCCATACATAGATTTTTGTACAGTTTTTTTGGTAGCATTAATTGTGACAAATAATATGCTGGAACAGCCTGACTTTATGGGACTATTTCAGTAGATTGTGTATTTTATTCTGATTTACTTGGTTAATTCACATCATAAAAGGTATATGAATAAAATATTTTAAAACAGCCAACACTTAATATTCATTTATTTATAACAAATACTTGAATGAATCAATCACTAAAACAGACAAAAATCCCTTTTCTCATGGAGCTTACACACAAAAACAACAATGGCTATGTAGTAGATTAGAATGTGATGAATGCTGTAAAAAAAAGAAGGGGAAGGGGAGCTCAGAGTGCTGGCGGCCTCGGGGGTGTTCAGGGATCTTAAGTCGGGCGCCTGTTGCTGAGAAAGCGGCCTTTAAGCAAAGACTTGGAGCTGAGGGTGTGAGTGAGTCTGGTGGCTCTGGGGGGAAAAGCCAGTGCAGGGGAGAAGGGGGAGTCTCCAAGGGGGGTAATTGGTGGTAGCAAGAATAGAAATCTCTCTCTCTTTTTTAAAGAGTTGATACAAAGAGCAGAAAAATGAGGCAGTAGCTTGGAGGGAAAACCCGGGTCGAGAGGATTCTTTTTCGATTTGGTGAAACAGCATGTGATATAGCCCACTTCGGAGGACACAACCCGATCAAGACGGGAAGGTGGGACCTGGGCGGGGCCGTGCCCGAGCGCACCGGCCCGAGCATGGGGAAGGCTGCCCGCCTGTCTGGCAGGCTCGGACGGATGTGTTGGTGGGGCCCAGCGGCCGCGCGGTGGGCCCTGCGGTCGCCCGCGAGGTCGGGATCCCCAGGCCTTGCGGCCTCAGCGAGGCCGAGTGGCGAGCTCGGCTGGGCTCGGCCGGGGACGCCGGGGGTTGCAGGCGAGGCCTGGCAGGCCCGGAGCGCGGCCTGGTCTGGTGGGCTCTGGAGAGCGTGGCCTGGCGCGCAGGGTCTGGAGGACCCGGCGTGGCCTGGCCTGGAGAGCGTGGCCTGGCCTGGCGGGTGCGGGCGAGCGTGGCCTGGCGGGCCTGGCGCGCAGGGTCTGGAGGACCCGGCGGGGCCTGGCTGGTAGAGCGTGGCCTGGCCGGGCGGGTACGGGTGAGCGTGGCCTGGCGGGTCCCCTGGTGCGCAGGGTCTGGAGGACCTGGCGTGGCCTGGCTGGTAGGGCGTGGCCTGGTCTGGCGGGTCCTGGCGAGCGCGGCCTGGTCTGGCGGGCCCGGGCGAGCGCGGCCTGGAGGGCTCGGCCTGGAGAGCGCGGTCTGGCGGACCCAGTGCGCGGTCTGGCGGACCCCGCGCGGTCTGGCGGACCCGGCCTGGAGACCGCCGTCGGGCGGACCTGCCATGGTCTGGCGGACCCTGCAAGCGCGGTTGGGTCTGGCGGGCCCAGGCGAACGCGGCCTGGCCTGGCGGGCTCGGCCTGGAGACCGCGGTCTGGCGGGCTCGGTGCGCGCAGCCTGGTCTGGAGGACCCGGCCTGGAGAGCGAGGCCTGGAGGACCCGGCGCGGTCTAGTCTCGTGGGGCCCTGCCAATGAGGCCTGTTCTGATGAGTCCGGGCGAGCTCTGCCTGGTCTGGCGGAGCGGACCTGGAGAGCGCGGTCTGGAGGACACGGCGAGGCCTGGCGGGCCCTGGAGAGCGCGGCCTGGCGGGCCCTGTACGCAGGGTCTGTAGGACCCGGCGCGGCCTGGCTTGTAGAGCTCGACCTGGTCTGGCTGACCCGGCCTGGAGAGCGCCGTCTGGTGGGCCGGGAGCTCGTGGCCTGGTTTGGAGCACTCGGCCTGGAGACCGCGGTCTGGAGGACCGGGCGCGCGCGGCGCGGCGCGCTCTGGAGGACCCGGCGCGATCTGGCGGGCCCGGCGAGCGCGGCCTGGTCTGGCGGGCCCAGCGGGCGCCGCCTGGTCTGGCGGACCCGGCCTGGAGAGCGCGGTCGGGTGGACCTGGCGCGCGCGGTCTGGCGAGCCTGGCGCGGTCCGGCGGGCCCAGCGCGCGGTCTGGCGGACCCAGCGCGCGGTCTGGCGGGCCCAGCGCGCGGTCTGGAGGACCCAGCGCGGTCTGGCGGACCCGGCCTGGAGAGCGCGGTCTGGAGGACTCGGTGCGGCCTGGCGGGCCTGGGCGAGCGCGGCCTGGTCTGGCGGCCTCGGCCTGGAGACCGTGGTCTGGCCGGCCTGGCGTGCGCAGCCTGGTCTGGAGGACCCGACCTGGAGAGCGCGGCCTGGAGGACCCGGCGCGGTCTGGTCTGGTGGGGCCCCGCCAGTGCGGTCTGGTCTGGCGGACCCGGCCTGGAGAGCGTGGTCTGGCGGGCCCGGCGCGCGGTCTGGAGGACCCGGCGCGGTCTGGCGGGCCCGGCGAGCGCGGCCCAGCCCATTTGGCGCCGTCCTCGGGAGCTGGCCGTGGGCCTGGCGTGCTGGCCGCCGCCCCGCAGTCCTCGCCCGGCTCTGGTCCGGGGAGGATGGCCAGGCTGGCCGGTTGCCGCGGTTGTGTGCCGCGGTTGTGTGCCGCGGTTCGCTGCGGCCTCTCCCTGCGTGCCCTGGTAGGCAGCCGGTGTCGGCCGCCAGGCGGAGCGGGCAGAGAAGGAAGATGAGATGGACTGGCGGGTGCGATGCCGATGGGGCCTGATGCTGAGGGATGCCGGTGCCCCGCGCCGCGGCGGCAGAGCTTGGCCGGATCCCTCTCAGCCTGAGACCAGGGCCTTCTCCTTTCCTTTTCAGGGTGGGCCCAGCAGTTATGAGGAGCCCCCAGGAGCTCTGGGCACAGGGCCGGAACGGGCTGCGGTGTGGGGGGACAGGAGGTGTGGGGGAGGGTCTTCAAGATGGGGGGGGCGCTGCCCGTCAGCGCCCTCTTGTGTCCACAGTGCGCAGCTTCCTACCAGCTCGCCCTCCGCGTCTCCTGGAGAGCTGGGCTGCGGGGGCGCACTGAAGCCCCGCCCCATCTCTCGGCCCAGACACACCCACTGTGGGCGGGGCCTGAGGCGCTGTCCGCGGTCGCTGTCCGCGGTCGCTGTCCGCGGTCGCTGTCCGCGGTCCCGGAGCCGCCTGAGGATTTCTACGTCCTTGGAGCCGAAAAAAGATTTTCTAGCGGACCTCGGGAGTTTCCAGCAGACCCTTGCGGCGTAAGCAGGCAGGACAAAAGACTCCTGTACTGTGGGCTCGGTGATGTGGGGCAGCTCAGAAACCCGTTACCTCTTCTCCAATTGGCATGTTGATTTTTACCCTTCTATTTTTTGTTTTTTAAAGATCTCAGCTGTATGTATTGAATTGGGCCAGTTATACTTCTGAGTTCATGATACATACTCATCATTAATCCTTGGACTAACCTTTTTCTTTTTCTTTTTAATTAGTTGTTTTGAATAACCACGATCTCTGTGTCCCCGCTCCATCCCCCTTTACTGGAAGTAACCATAATCCCACCTGTATGTTTACAGATGTTGTTCCTTCCCTTCCTTCCCCTCAACCTCCACCCCCCGTGTGTGTATATATGTGTGTGCGTATGTGATGTTTTTAACTTTTTGAGGACTTTATGTGTTGCTGGAAATCAACTATGTTGTTATTTTTCACTGTGGTTTATTCCTTCTAACTCTTATACAATATTGTGTGGATCTGCCAAAGTTAATTTACTCTTCTGTTGATGGGCATTTGGGTCGTTTCCAGATTGTTGCTAGTGTGAAATACACGAGCTGTTCTTTCCCTTGTTTTCTGTTTGACGTGTGCATGGTTTCCTCTTGCGTGTTTGCCTGATTTGCGTGTAGCGAGATTTGAATAGCTAGGTTATAGGGTATATGAATATGCAATTTTAGGGTGTAATGCCATGCTGACTTAATGTAATGGTTGTACCAATTTACACTTCCACCAGAAACATAGGAGAAACCTGGACTATCTCTCCTCCAACATTTGATATTTAATATTTGTTAATGGAATTGCTGTAATTTGTATGTCATGAGGCCTTGATTTGCAACTCCTTTTTTACTAATGATGTTGAACATCTTTTTGTATATTTATTGACACGTTTCCTTCTGTCTGATTATGTCTTGTCCACTTCATGTTGAGTCATCCATTCATACGACCTTTCTGTCTAGAAGCTTTAGAATTTTCTCTACCTTTGATATTAAAATTTGGCATATCTTGAGTAGGTGTGGGCTTTTAAAAAATTTTTAAAGTTTCTTCTCTTTTTGTGTTCTATTTTCTTTTATTTCCAAGAATTATAATCTTTTTTGTTTTTTTGTATGTGAGTGTATGTATTCTTTGCCAGCTTTGTGTATCTCCCAGTTTATAACTTGTTTCTGTTTTCTTTAAACTATTTTTTGATGAAAATACATTTTTAAATTTAGTAACTCAAGTTTCTCAATTTTTTTGTAGTTAATGCTATTGAGTATTAAATATTTTGTTACGTTAGGACCAAACAATTAGCTAACTGTATTTTCTATTAAGAGTTTTAAAGTTTGGTGTGCCCACTACCATCATATTAATATTATATAGATCTTTTATTATGGATTATTACAGTAATGTTGCAGGCAAACTGAGACATAACCACCCTACTTGTGGGCCATTCTAAAAAATTTGATTTTATAAAACATATCATGGGAAGTTACTGAAGAATTTCAGTAGCTGAGTGAGTCACAGGTTCTAAATATACTCGTTTATTAGGTTGGCCAAAAAGTGGATTTGTTTTTTTCTGTAAGATGGCTCTGGTAATGCTTGGTTGTCTTTAATGTCACTTGAAACAATTTTGTTAGATTGTATTTATTGTGGCAGCTGTGATAACTGTTGTGTTTAAAATAAATTTACTAAAATTGCAGAATTTTTCTGTAGCCACTTTAACATTGAAGATGGAAGAAAATATGCCCCCTTTTTTGCATATTAGGCTTTATTATTTCAAGAAAGGTAAAAATACAAAAAAAAATTTGTGCAGTGTATGGAGATGGTGCTGTGACTGATCAAAAGTGTTAGAAGTGGTTTGTGAAGTTTCGTGCTGGAGATTTCTTGCTGGATGATGCTCCACCCTCGGGTGGACCAGTTGAAATTGATAGTGATCAAATCAAGACCTTAATTGAGAACAGTTAATATTATACCACACAGGAGATAGCCGGCATACTGAAAATATCTAAATCCATAAAGTTATTGGTGAAAATGGAAAATGTGCCTTTTATTTTACGGAAAGAACCACACACACTTTTTGGCCACCCCAGTGTTTCTGATGATCACACTGGTGCGAGATGGGCGGAGTTGGGGATGGTGAGGGGCCAGCCCAGAACAGAGTGAGGGGCCCCATTCAGCCAGCACTGGGGTGCCGGTGAGAAATGGCGGCGGGTTTAGTGCGCGCAGACATGGAGAGGTGTGGATGGATTTGAAATGGAGGCAGAAGTAATAGAACTTTGAGGTGCACTGAATATGGCGGATGAAAGGTAGAACCCGTGTAATGTGTCTGGGGCGGACGGGATGCCATTCCTGAGATGCCGAATTCTTGGGAAAGGATAGTTTGTAAGTTTCTAACTTTTGGTTGAATTATAGTGCCTCTTTTAATTTGCTTATGCTGGAAAACAGCTTTATGGTTATGAATATTTTATAGCTTGTTCATGTGCTTTCCTTTCCAAATAGGTGACTCTCTTTTGAAAAGCTCAACCAGAACACTTCTGGAATTCAACACAACAGTGGCCTGTGATGTGAAGCCGAGCCCGAATCACAAAGTCCAGAGTAGTATCACCTTCCTGTGTGGGAAAACCTTGGTGAGTCTGCAGAGTTACTCTGTAACACTCCTTTTGGTAAAATGCTTGCCCCCTGGGGCGTCCAGCTCTTGCCGTATTGTTAGAGGAGTAAGTGAAAAAAATGGAAAACACAAACAGGTAAACAAAAGCCCCAACCAAGTCACCATCACCATTAAGAGCCAATAAGGAAAAAGTCATAAGTCTGTAGTAAACCACTTTTAAGTGAAACTTGATCCACATCCTGTATAAAACTATAAATCAAAGTGAGTAATGTGTTTGAACTCAAAGCACTGTTTAATGTTTATTGCAGGCATAATTTTATTTTCTTTCTAAAATCCCTTCTCTCAGCATTTTAGTATGAGAGTTTTTAGAGCAATGTATTTATTGAAAAAAATTTTTTTCTTTTCTCATTTACATTAAATTGGAGAGACAGCCATCTGTTTAGGGCAGCAGTTTGCAATCGGTGTGCCCACAGAGTTTTTAAAATGTGCGGTACCTCACTATTTAGTCAGGGAGCACTGACCTCTTTTCCCTCAGATTGTCAAATGGAAAACTAACAACAGCCAACCCAACAATAGCCATCCGGTGTGAATGAATCAAAATTATATATATATTTTTGGGTCAGACTGGTGAAAAAAATATTTTTTAGTGTGCTACTGAGTTGTAGTAATTAGTTTATGCTTGCCATGAGATGTAAAAGGTTGCAAGTCACTGATCTAGGAGAAGTGTTCGCCTGTGGGTCATGGGGTTCCCAACCTTTTGGGGAGTTACTGGTGTTTACGGGGGACATAATTGTTTAAAGTGTGATTTGTTCTTGTACTCTGCATATTGCATGTGGTTTTTACATTTTAATCTTTAGCATTTAGAAAGGGACTGGCAGCAAATAATTGCTGGCTTTTATGAAAAGCAGTTTGTACACAGAGCCTATGAATGTTCTCTAATCAGAGTAGGAACCCAAGAATTTAGAAAAATCAGGGCGAGTGACACTCATGTGGCCACCACATTGCTGTAAGATACTATTTTAGAATTTGCTGTGACTGTTGTACACTCAGGCCCATAAAGTCTCATCTCAAGAACTTCACAGGTAGAACGTAATTTGTTAAGTGTGGACCAGCTTGTCATTTGCACTGTGTTGTCCATGTTGAAACCTTGGGGAAAAGTTTGTTTGCAGTGCTATAAAGTATGGAAGTCTACATTATGGGATAAGCTCGATGCTGTTTTAATAGTAACTGATTTCCTTCAGGAATTCTTTGTGTACCATAAAAGCAGCAGAATTGTGAAGCACTCCAGATTTGCACACAGGAGTGTAAATTCCCGCTGTGTCAGGCATCGCCCAGCCAAGTTGTGGTTCAGTTTGGAGTCAACCCTGGGTGGGGGCGGGGGGCGTGTCTGAAGCGAGGCTGGTGTAGGGCTTGGGTGGGCCTCCTCCCTCACTTACAGGAAGCATGAGGTCACATTTTCTGGCTTTGATTTTGTTGGCATTTGGTGGAGAGAACATTTGGCGTGTGAGAGGATGGGGCTCGGAGGGTTACTTCCCATGAGTTTACTGTACTTGCATAGCTGGGGCAGTAGAACAGTTTTGGCCCGATTATTCCAAAATTCCGGCATGATTTCATGAAGCTTTTGTCTCAGAATTTTTGGGTTTGGGAGCTTCATAATGACTTTGTTGAACTAAATGGTTGCATTCTCCCAGCTGCCCCTTGTTGCTACTTTTAAAATTTTCATTTACTGGTTTTAACTTTGAAGAAAACTTTACAATATGCAGTATGGTAACTTCTAATTTATTTTTACTAGGGAACTCCTGAATTTGTAACTGCAGCAGACTGTGTGCACTACTTTGAGTGGAGGACCACAGCAGCCTGCAAGAAGAACACGTTTAAAGCTAATAAAGAGGTAACAAGGGACCTGCAAGGTTACATGCTTGTGAAGTACATTCGGGGACCCTGAAGATTTGAAATACTGGGGTGGAAATCCTTTTTAGCTTTCAAGCTCCATTTGAGCAGAGATACCGTGTGCTTTAATTGTTAAAATTGTTCTGTGTGGTTCTCTTTTAGGACAAGGCACTTAAAATATCTCAGGGTGCGATCAAAATAGAATGGCCCCCCCCCCCCCACGTAAGGCGAGTTAGTTCTTGGTTTTCTGGTGTGTGCAGCGCAGCCACTAAGTGGCACGGTTGAGTGGGGGCTCAGTGAATTCACTCTGCCTAAAGGTGCTGTCCCCACAGCTTTGGGGCGGCTTCTGGATGGGGAGTCCAGGCCAGGGGCCCGGAGCCCACCGACTCTTTGCCAGCCCTTCTCAGAGACTGGGTGACTATTAGCGTTCCTTCTGTTCTTTCTGTGGTGTGCAGTCAAGTCACTCTTGGTGACCCACAAGGTATCCTGCTCCCTAGTCTAGAGCCCCTGTGGCTGGCCCCGCCGTGTGGCCCTCCCTGGCCCTGGAGGAGAGCGGGCAGCGGCTGGCACTCCCCCGACCCGACTCCCCGCTCCCCCTCCCGGGCCTCTCACGTGCTTTCCTGTGCTCACGGGGACCGCAGTCCTTGTGGGTTGTTATTCTCTTTTTTACGATTAGTTTTTGGTTCTGAAGGATCAAGATCGAAGCCTCAGGAGCTAGGAACTGACCAGTGGGGGTTGTTTCCATGGCTGGCTGGCTACAGTGTCATTTAAGAAGGGCAAAAAGAGGTCCATTAGTTTTTAAAAAGGGAAGCCAGGCGAGATGACAGATAACAAACGGTCATAGGTCTTTCGTGTGTGGCAGTCTGTAAGGGACACGGCCGTCTGACTTGTGAGGGGAGGAGGCAGGCTGCTGCCTCTGAGGGGTGCGGGGGGGGGAAGCGTGAGGAATGCTCAGTGCTCAGAGTTGGCAGCGTGAGAAGAAATACGGCCCAAAGGAATGACACCGCCCTTCAGGAGACGGTGTGGAATGTAAGCTTCACGTTTCAGATGAAGGGTAAACTGCCGACATCCGGTTAGTGGCAGGAAAGCCTCTAAGAGCTGCAGGCGTGGCCTTCCGCTCCCCCGGGGACCTCCGTTCGCTCCGGGCCCACGGGTGGCCCTTGGTAGCCCCAGCGCTCTAGGCTGACGACGATGCCTGTGCTCCTGCTTTAACAGCGAATCCTCTTCCCTCGCTTTGCTGAATTTGCAGTTGTGTCTCCTGTCACTTTGGGAAGAATGGCTTTCCAAACTGAAGAAAGGAAGAAAGAGCAGTTTGTTTTCTCTTTGCTTCGTGTTGTAGGTCAGAAGTCAGAAACTACAGCCCGCAGGCCAGGCCCTGCCCCCCGTCTGTTTGTTCAGCCTTAGAACTAAGAATGGTCTTTGCATTTTTATAGGATTGTAAAAAGATGAAGAAGAATACACAGCAGAGACCTACGTGACTTGTAAAGCCTGAAATTTTTACTCTATGGCCCTTTACAGGAGAAGTGTGCCCTGTACTAAATTGGTCTTTTGGGGTGGAACGGGGGAGGTAATGTTTTTCTCAAAACAGTGACACTTAATATTTCTTAGAAGTTGATCTAATGATGCATGAGAAATGGTGCGGCTTGCTCTCTGATCATCTCTGGGTCTGGTTGGCTGCTGGGGCTGCAGTCATTCATTTCCCACTTAGTGCGGGCCTGTCGTGGGCTAAGCACTAGGAATTCCATCACGTTTTGCCAGGCTCCTTGCTGCCCAGAGCCCATGGACAGAGGTGTGGAGGGCATAGCCCTGCTTATGGCCTGGATCGCTCTCTGCCTCGGGTGCAGGCACATCAGATGGAAAGAACTGAAGAGCACGTGGCTGCAGCAATGGCCTTGCTGTCATCGTTAGCGACCCTAATAAAGCACATTCCCTTTTCTGTCTTCAGCAGGATTTGATTACACCTTGTAGGCTATGGTAGAACTTCAAAAATTATGTTAAGTGTTTTATGTACTTGTAAAATGGTATTTCTTTTTAAAAAAAAATCCAGACTCGGTTTACGTTTGGCGTCCTCACAACATCCACACCTTATTTCTTTTGTCTCCTCGTTTCTTTTGTTAGTGTTGCCTTGTCACTGCTCTCATGCCTGTGCAGTGGATTCTGGCAGGGGGTTTCAGACCATTTCTTTAATGCCTCATGGACGTCTGTCCTCTCCTGTAGCACTCCTGGAGACGCAGAAAAGTCGGAGCGCCCCAGAGTTGCATAAACATGACTGGCACACAGCACTCACAAGGCCGACTCGGTGCGGGGAGCGCGGAGCGGGCAGCCCCCCGGCGGGCTGGTGCCTTCCTGCTCTCATGAACGTCTCCGTTGCTCTGCTCCATGGAGCAGGAAGTGGGAGGACTCCCCCGGAGCCTGGACTGCTTTCCGAGGCGCTCTCCAGCTCTGCGGGCGCAGTGCTGGGCGTGTCTGTAATTCCTTCCTGGCCTGGGGAGCCGGCCAGAGGTGGCTGGCTGCCTCGCGCGGGGTGTCTGAGCGCCGTGCTTACTGGAATCCCTCGAGCCCCTTGTGGACTGGAGCGAGTGCAGAACTATGAGTACTTTCAGACGTGGCCCGTTTTTCTTTCCCTCCAGCGTGGGCCAGCTGCTCCCTTTTTGTTCTTAGGCTTTCATTTTGTAGCTGGAGAGGTGCCTCGTCTCCCAGTCTGACCTGTCAGCCCAAACCTCCCTGGAGTCTGTGGTTCCGCGTTACCTTCTGGGGAACGACCAGCTTCAGGCTTGCAGCAGTGAGCACGCTGCGGCTTCTTCCGCTGGAACCCAGGCTCGGCCTGCGGGGATGCCTTGATTTTAGCTTAGACGACTTCTTTGCGGCATTGTGGGGGTAGCCTTTCTGTGGGATGGAGCCTGAGGCTTGGCGTCCGGCCTCGGACCTCCCTGGCTCCGTGCCGGCCGGGCCCTCCCCAGACCAAATGTGCCAGCCTCCTCCGGTGTCAGCGGGATCTGTGATCAGCGTTACAGGCCACAGCAGACTTTGCTTTAAGGGTCTGGCTGGATTGCGGCCACGTGTCCCTGGGCCTGGGTGGAGATGAACGTTGTTGATTCGCTGCATTAGCTCTCCGTGAAATCTCGGAAAACAGGCCGGGGACAAGGTCAGTGGGTTTGAGAGTTCCTGTAGGTTTGATAGCATCTTTCTCAGAAGAAAATAAAAGCTGAATATTAAGCAGTTAACCTTTGTAAGTGGACCTGCATGTGAATAGTATCAATCTAAAAGAATTTTAGGAAAGTGATGAAACCAACCACTCTAGAATGATTGCAGGGACTGTGAGTTTCTAGAATGTTTCTTTGCACAGGCGATTAGACCAATGCAGCGCATTACTTGGGAAATAAGACTCACAGGGGTGTTTCACATAAAGGTGGAGCAGTAGGAGGTGGGATCTGGGTGCCAAGGGCCTTGATTGGTCTCGGGCACACCTGTGGGCTTGGTCGCCTCGCGTTCAGAAATAGGTGGAGCTGTTAAAGCACAGGATCTTGCCAACTCTAATGGGTTCCTTGACATTTTAAAAATAAGGGGCCATTAGTTCATAGAGACGAGAGAGTGGTCACAAATTAGAATCCCGTAAGGGGGGGTTAGATGCCCGGAGGAGGAATTTGTCTTCCGTGTTACTGAACAGACGTTGGGTTGTGGGCATTGTCCTAAGCCTTTCCAAGGGCCACAGCAGAGATGAGGCCCTTGTCCTCAGGGAGCAGGCACTCTGGGAGGATGTGGACAAGCCCACCTGTGGCAGCGGCTGGCAACACACAGCAGTGCTGGGGAGACAAAGGAGGCAGGCAGGCACGGCATGGCAGGAGGAGAGAGCGCTGCTTTAAGCCGGGGCGCTGGGAAGGCCTCCCCGTGCAGGCGGTGGCTCGTCCGAGACCTGAGCTCGGATTAGAGTGAGCCGCGTGGATCCCTGGGAGGCGCGTTCTGGGTAGAGGGCGCATGGAGCTGCGGGGGCTGAGCCGCACCTGGAGGCCAGGAGGCCGTGTGCAGTGGTCCGTGAGGTGGGAGGGGACTTTGTTCTCAGCGTGGGTTTGGGCAGAGAGTGATGCGACCTGATGTAGTCTTAGAAGGGTGATCTGTCGGTTGCGGGGATGTGGGCCGCAGGTTGGAGGGGCCTGTCATCTGGAAGCAGGGACCAGTTAAAAGTGACTGTTGCAGGCCAGAGACTGGCGGTTTGGACAGGACAGTACTGAAGTGATCCTAAGGGGGTGGACCCTGGTGTCACGTGGCGTTCGTGGTAGGCTTTCCTGAGCCACCAGCCCTGAGAAGGTGTGTTGAAGACTCACTGTTCTCTGCTCCCTTCTAGGTGCCGTGCTATGCATTCGATGGAGAGTTCAAGAAACATGATTTAAACCCACTCATCAAGATCAGCGGTGCTTACTTGGTGGATGACTCAGACCCGGAGTCTTCTCTGTTCATCAACGTTTGTAGAGACATAGGTCTGAGTCCTGGGGGGCGTGGGCGTGGGTGGCGAAGGGTTTCTTAGTGTGCTTCCACGTCTTTGCTCTTCCGCCTGTGTTCACCTGCTTGGATAGTCATGTTGCCGTGAGGCCTTCTGAGAAAGCTTTTATCCCAGCAGATGTTCTCAGTGCCCACCCTACCCCTTGACCCCCCGGAAGTTCTGATTCCATTGCAGATTCCCTCCAAACTGTTGGTCTGTGCGGTGTGTTCTCTCTGCCAGACTCTCTGGGTTTCAAGATTCTCAAGTAACTCTTATTTCCAGTGGGATGGGGGAGAATGGGCTGAGCCGGGGTGTGGGCTGCGGAGGGCACGCCGGCGCAAACGGGCGTCAGGGTCCTTGGGAGGCCGAGGGAGCCGGGCTGGGGCTCTGAAGGGGGTGGGGAGCTTGGGTGTCTGCGGAATCCCCCGAGGCTGTGCGTGACTGTCGCCTGGAAGGGCTGTGACAAGACTCGGTGAGCCCCTGCCTGTTTGCCCGCGGCCGCGGGACGCTGGCTCGCCGTCCCTCGGGGCTGAGGGCTGCTGGTTCTCAGGCCAGGCCTGGCCGTGCTGCTCCGCCGGCGGCGGATGTGCCACAACTGTGAGCTGCTTGTGACGAGCTAATGAAGAAGTCACTGTTTTCTGTTTTCCTTACATTCTTGTTTATCACACAGTTTGTGGGACTTGGGCCTCAGAAGAGTTTGGAAGAAACTGTAAAAAATAAAGTCAGGCCGTGAGGGGATTGCGGGGCGGTGAGGACGTGAGTGTTAGCGTGCAGCTGTCCTTTACATTGTGCACATCCGCGAGGCACAGCTTGATGCAAAGTGGACCCCTGGGCTTATTATTTCCAAATAGCTCTGAAAAGTGAATCTGCCACACACGTTGTTCACCAGGAGCGACCCGTGATCATTTTAGATTTGTGTGTCGGGCTCTCTCAAAGGACAGCTGGTGTTATTCTTTTGGGAAAAGGTAGACAGACAAAGTCTTTGTTTTAAATGCGCCTATAACTCAAATTTGACTATGAAATTGAAGAGTCATGTAGGTTATTGAATTCTGAAATAATATACCATTTTGAATTAGAAAACATTGAGATTCCTGTTGGTTTTTTAAAATCATTTTGAGGATTATTTGCGTTCACTGGGTGTATTCTTAAAGAGTTCTTTTCTTTCCAATTCACTGGCAGTTTGAGTTGAATTTTCAGGAGCTTTGATTTATGCCAGAGCTTTCCCAGCCTCTGCCCAGATGTTCTCCAGCCCCAGGGAACTGCTCTGAGCCTCAGACTATTTGAAAGTGACCGTAAAACCTCATGGGCAGTTGTAGCTTTCCTGTTCTCTGTCTAACGGGGCACCCTGAGGGCCGTGGCCTCGCATTTTGTCTCCAGGGACCCAGGCGGTCCGCCCGTCACGCATCCCTGAGGGCGAGGACCCCACGGCACAGCCGGTACTCAGCGTGGCCCGATACCGCCCGGTAGCGCGATTGCATGATACAGGCTCGAGACCTAAAGGTTCTCTCATCTTCTGGTGGCTCCTCACAGCGGACTGGGGAAGATGCGGGCCCCCCCGCCCCGCCCCCACCGCCTTAGATGACAAGGCTTTAATTACGGCCCAAGTCAGGTGACACTTACCCATCCATTGGGGACCCCTGTGAAGAGCCGTGCACCCCTTTAGGCACTGAATTACTTGACCAAAGGAAGGGCCTGCTCTTCTCGAGCTTACGGTCCAGTGGAAGCAGGTGCCTAGAAAGGAAACCCCACGCATGTGAGTGCAGTGTCAGTGTCCTGGGTGATGGGCTTAGCAGCGCCACGTGGCGGGTGCGCCGTGGGGAGACGCTGGCCTCATGGCCAGCAGTCTGCGGAGTCTGGGCGTTGGTCTAGGCACGTTCAGTGTGTTCTTTCCCTTAACCCCCCTTGACCTGGGAGGTGGTGCTCGGGCAGGGAGAGCGGTGTGCTTAGACCAAAGTGGTACCAGAAGTCAGTGGTGGGTCTCGGGTTTGAACCCAGAGGCACTTGTGGGTTCTTTCTCGAACCTGCTTGTCTTCACACAAATCCCTGGAGTCCCGGTGTTTTCTAGTCTGTTTATAGATTGAAAGGGGGCAATGCTGAAGTTAGTGTGTCTCTGGGAGGGGGCGGACATTCCTTGCCTTCAGCGAACATAGCAGCCCCTGTGTGTAGGGTGCCTCTTATGTACCAGGTGCGGAGCGAGCGCCTTGCATTCCTTCTCCCCACACCTGCCCGCAGCCCTGCAGGTGGGGGGTGCTTTGCTCGTTTCTTAACATTCAGACAGGTCACTGGCTGTCCCAGACCTCAGAATGGAATGTGGTTCTACTTCTTTTTTTATTTCTGAACGTCTACCTTATGTTGCTTAGGAAGACTTTGAAAAATTTGACCATTTTTTTTAAAGGGACCCCAGGCCTACGGTTGTATGTGACTGCCGCTCCTGACGCATAATCAGTGAACGTCCTGTGTAATGTTTTACAGACTCACTGCGGGACTCAAGTCCGCAGCTGCGTGCCTGTCCCGCAGGCACCGCCGCCTGCCTGGTGCGAGGGGGCCAGGCCTTCGACGTCGGCCAGCCCAAGGAGGGGCTGAAGTTGGTGAGCAAGGACAGGTGAGTGCGCCCTTGGCGTTGTTGTCATCCTCAGCAGGCTCTCCAGTGTGTTGCACGATAACACTTGCGAAATGATGCTTGCAAAGTCACTAGTCTTTGCCGTGAGTCACCTAGGCTGTCTCGATGACTTTCTAATCGCTTGTCTCTTCGAGCTGTAAAAATGTGTATCGGGATCCAGCCGTACATGTATTGACAGCTACTGAAGGTGCATCCTAATGCACTGGCCATGGCAGGTCACCTGTGGAGTTGACTCTGTGTCCATGGTTATCAGTTCTTTACAGGCAACGTCCTGGAGGGCGAGTGGCAGGAAGGGCCGTTCGCTGGCTTCCTTCCAGGGTGCACAGCCTGCTTCCTGTGGGACACTGCGGCCCCCGGGTTTCGGGGCCGGGCGCTCCATCCCTCACGACAGACCTGCTGGTTACGCACGCTCTCCTCCTGCCATAGTACCTCACTTGGCAGGGAGATGCTCTTCTGGTGGGTCCACACGTGACCATGGCCTGAACTGGGGCCAAGACTCTAGATGGTCTTCCGGTGGCAGGGCCTTTGACGGATGCCTCGTGGGTGCTCTGGTCCGGAGCCAGAGGCACGTCCACGCCACGGTCATAGATGGTCCACGGAAGACACTGGTGCACACCTGACACTTAAAGGGTTTGGGAGGTTTCTGTGTGTGTGTCGGTTTGCCAGGGCTGCTGTGCAGGACAGACCGCAGACGGGGCGGCCGCAGCAGCAGCAGCGACCTGCTGGCAGCGCTGAGGCCTGAAGTCCGCGGTGCCTGCGGGGCTGGCTCCCCCGAGCCCCTCTCCTTGGCTTGTCGATGGCTGTCTCCTCCCCGTGTCCTCACACGGGCTTCGTCACGCATGTGTACCCTAATCTCCTCTTCTTACCAGGACCCCTGCCGCATCTGGTTCAGGCCCACCTGGTGACCTTCCCTTTACTTTGTCTCCTCTTTAAAGGCCTTATCACCAAACACTGTCACATGGCTGAGGTGCTGGGGTTAGGTCTTCAACAGGCATTTGGGGGAGGGGCGAGTCACAATGTAGCCCATAATGTTGTCCCGAGTGACAAATGGGTGATTTTCACACCGGAGGACTTGGTAAAACGCGGGCATTGACGAAAGCGGAGCTGACTGCAGAGAGGAGGCAGGGCCTGTGTGCGCCCTGGCCCTCACGCCCGCAGCGGCCCCAGGCCCTCCCACCACGGCTGCGGGAGGGGGCCGCAGGGGCCCGCACGCTCCGCTGCCTTCAGGTGAACAGGGCGTCTCTGGCTTGTACTCAGAAGTTGTAGTTTGGAGAGGGAGTGGCCGTACAGTGTGTGACCTGCTCGGCTGTGTTTTGTTTTGTTAGAGTATTTATGACATGTTTTTTGTTTTACTCAAACAGCTTTTCTTAGTATTTAAATTTACACATTGATCATTTCATTTATTTTTTTAAAGAAAATAGCACTTACTGAAGTTTACTTTTAAATGGTTACTTCTTTCAAGGGGAAATGAAGTGTTGTATGTGGCTTCTTTTACATTTTAACCTTTCTTCTGTTCCCCTGTCCCCCAGTGAATGCTCAGGGCACCAGATACATTTGAATGCCACTGATACTTTTGGAACACTGTTCTCTCCTTGTGTCACCCAGGCTTGTCCTGACTTACGTTAAAGAAGAGGCGGGGAAGCTGGACTTCTGTGACGGTCACAGCCCGGCGGTGACCATTACATTTGTCTGCCCGTCAGAGCGCAGGGAGGTGAGTGGCTCATCTTCCATGACTTCTCAGCGGCACACGGTAGCTCGGGCTGCCTGGGAGCACAAGCTGGGGTTGGGGCGGGGCCCTGGGCTGGGAGCAGGCACCGGGCTACGTGGACTGTCCGTGAAGACGTGCTCCCCAGCGTGGACTCGGCCGCACGGGGAGGCTACCGGCAGACAGCCTGCTCTTTGCTTTTTCTCAGCCCCCCTGTGGGGACCTCTGGATATCAGTGTAGGATGGTGTTTTGTTCTCATGTTGTGGGAGATGACTTCCATTGGCTTGTGGACAGGTTTGCAAAATTGTCCTAGTTAATGCTGATTTGAATGGATATTGGAAAAATCCTCAGTACATCCCCAAACCCTGATTTCATGGCTGCTGTTTTAGGACGAAGCAAGGTGAAAGTAGCTAATGGGTTTACAGAAACACAGTTAGGAAACGAGAAGTACAGATGGTGTGCACACCCCACAGAAACCGCGCAGGCCCGTGAGGCCGTTGGGGGTCCCAGTGGAGGAGGACCGTGGCCAGGAGGCGGGCTTCCAGGGGGGGGTGCGGCCCCTCCCCGGCTCGGCGGCGCTCCCTCTGGCTGTGTGCACGGTCTCACACAGCTGCGAACTCCTCGAGGGCAGCAGCGGCCTGAGTTGTCCTTGGCCACGGCCCAGTGGTGCTGCGTGCACGTGTGGCGGAGAAGTGTGTGAGCAGATGTGGGTGCTGGTGGCAGGGAGACATCCCTAGAGAGAAAGGGTAGGGCTTTCCTTGAATGGGCTTCGCTTCTAAGAGGGTGAACTAGGAGTGGAATTCTTTTGCTGGGGAGCCATACTGCCCCTCCTCCCAAACAATGTGGAATTCACTCTGGTTTCGGGCTGGCTGCTGGCCTGTTTTGTGTGCTGGGCTACGGGGACAAAAGTTTAGCCCCAGCCAGCTTTCCATTTTGTGTCCCTGGACTCCCAGGGCCCATGGTGGCAGCTCACTGAAGGCCCGACCGGCTGAGCAGTGCTCGGCGTTGGTTCCAACGGGGGCATTGAAGGAGATTGGTTTATACCTTACAATTGCACCTACACGTGTGAATGGCAATCTTTTCAGCCTGACAAGATGTTCTCAGCTGGCAGTGTATCCCTTTCTCATCTAAACGTGTCCCACCTTCAGCGAGAATTGTCTGACAGGCGCACGGTGTAGCGGAGGGGTGCCTCCCCCCCCCCCCCCCCGCTGCGCTCTCCCTGGGATGCGCGGTGCTTGGTGGTGCCCGCGCAGGGGCTGGCCGGCGGCTGGCGAAGGGCGCCGTTCCCACTTATCTGTTTCCCGGGCAGAACTGGGGTTACACATGATACTTTAATACTGGAAAGTTTATTTAAGAATTTACGCTGGCTCATCGAATACTTTTAGGAGCTGGGATTTTCATAAACATTTACCTTGTCACATGAATCTTTTTTTAAAAAACTTTATTGAATTTAGAAAGTGAAGTTCACCCGTTTTAAGGCAGTTTAACGGCTATTAGTATATTAACAGACTCAGGCAGCCACCGCCACCATCTAAGGTCCAAGCATTTCCATCCCCCAACAAGAACCCTCGTGCGGCTGCCCCCTCCCCAGCACCGCCCTGCCCTGGCAGCCGCGGTCTGCGTTCTGTCTCTGTGGACTTGCCTTTTCTGGACATCTTGTGTAAGTGAGCCGTACACTGTGTGGCCTTTGTGTCCGACTGCTCTCGTTTGGTGCTCGGCAACCCGTCACCAGACGCCCGACCTTCCTGAGCCCCGAGTGGCTGCAGCGCCGGTTTTGAGTCAGACAGTCGGAGCCGGACTTGCAGCTTCGCAGCCTATTTATCACATGACCTGTGTTTGCAAACTCAGCGCTGAGGACTTGTGCCTGGCACGTAACAGGCGCTGGGTAAACATACACAGGGGGACAGTGCTGGGAAGCAGCGCGGCCGTGCCGGACACTGAGAGCTGCAGCCGCTTCTCCCAGCGGTGGTTAGAGACGACACTGCCCTCCAGGAGCCGACACTGCCCTCCAGGAGCCGTGACCTCACGGCCTCCATACCGCGGGCACAGCAAAGGCTCCCGGGCGGGGCGACGCTCGGCAGCGTCCAGGGTGGTGACGGAGGCTGTGCTCCTCCCAGGACAGGGGCAGGTGGCAGGGGAGGTGGGCCCGGCACCCCTTCGGCAGTTGCAGGAAGGGGGCGAAGGGCCGTCTCCCTAGACGCTCACACGCACAGTAAGTCCCGCTCAGCCCAGGAGTCACCTGGCCCAGGCTCCGCAGCACTTCTGACTGAAGGGCATGCACGGCCCGCACACCCCTCACAGGTTGCGGCTGCTTGCCGAGGTCGTGGGTGCCAGATGACGTGGAGTTCAGGGCGGTCCCCCGGCTGAAGCTTGAGTGTGACTCTGCAAGTGACCAGAAACGGCGAGTGATTGGAGTCAGATAATGGCAATACGTTAAGGGCAGTTAGGGTTCAAAAACAGGAGCAGAACAGTGTAAAAACCCAACAGTTTTACTTTGAAGCTTTTCAGAACCATGGAAACCTGCATTGGAACTGCATTTTCAAAATTTAATTTTATATCTTTTGAACCGTTCCTGACAGGGCACTATTCCCAAGCTCACGGCTAAATCCAACTGCCGCTACGAGGTTGAGTGGGTCACTGAGTACGCCTGCCACAGGGACTATTTGGAGAGCAGCAACTGCTTCCTGAGCAGCGAGCAGCACGACATCGCCATCGACCTCCAGCCACTCAGGCAGGACCCGGGTGAGCGCTGCCGCGGGCCGAGGTCCCGCCAGGAATTCAGGTTGAAGGAGGTCCTGTGTCCCTTTCTTAACACTACGAAGGTGACAAGGCCTCTTTTCTTTGTTCCCTTTTCTGTAGGTCATTACTATTCTGCAGATGGAAAGGAATATATGTTTTATTTGAATATCTGTGGAGAAATTGAAGCAGACTCAAAGGTCTGCAATGGGAAACAGGCTGTGGTTTGCCAAGCGAAAAAGCCTGATTTTGCTCAAGTCAAAGTGGCAGGAAAATTCCAGAACCAAACTCTTCGGTGTGTAAACAGCTTTTCTGTACTTTTCAAGTGCATTGTGTCTGTTCTTGTAAAATGTAACCAACTTCCCTGTCCTCTTCCTCCTCCGTCTTCCCGAAGCCCAGCGGCCAGGGAGGCCGGCGCGCCTGCGGCTCCGGCATGGGGCCTTCTGTCACCAAACAGTGGGATGTTTTTCCTGGCTTGACAATAAGACTGCTTCTGTTAAATCCGCCTGCTTTACGACCCATTGTTTGGAAGGAACTGTACCGTAGGAGAGTTATTAGTGTACAGTTGATGTGGCTTTTGTATTTTAAAATTTATTTTTCCGAGCTTTACATTTTTCTCTGGCCGTTTGAGAGTCTGAAATGCCATTAACATCACTTAAAAAGTTTTAAACAACTGAGAACATGAATTCAGTGCGATTCTCCTGACCCTTAATGGAGTGGTTATCGTCACAAAAGCATTATGAAAATGTAGTTCTCTGAAAATAAGGATTGTCCAGGGTCACTCAGGTAAGACTGTGTGTATGGCGGCCACTGTGTGCTGCTTGGCCTTTATTTATTTTGTACAAAATCCAAAAAGGAGAGCAGGGGAGCCGTCATGCTCCCAGCAAAACCCTCAGCCCCTTCTCGCAGCCCATTATTACTTTGAAGTAAGAGGACGATAAGCCGGCACATTTGCAACTCATTTCCTTTAGATGTTTTCCCCAGCTGGCGAGAGCGAGCTGTGCTGTGTCTGTAATGATCCGTCGATGGTATGCACAGGGCTTAATGTAGAGATGTTTAAAAACGTGAGTGTCTGTTTCGGTTCGGCCCAACACGCACGTCTGTGTATCACAAAAATCCAGGTACTCCGACGGGGACCTCACCTTGATCTATGTCGGAGGGGACGAGTGCAGCTCAGGCTTCCAGCGCGTGAGCGTCATCAACTTCGAGTGCAACGAGACTGCGGGTGAGTGCGCCCCGGGGCGTTTACCCAGCGCCGTGGGGCGCGGGTGTTCCTGGGAGTGGAATGCTGAACGGAGCAGTCACACGGCCGCTTCGGGCGTGGCCCCCTCCCGTCCCCAGACGAGGTAGGGGTGCCCAGCCAACCACACACACATCCTGTTTCCATTTTCCCCTGCGCTCTGTTTGCTTTGGGCGCGGGCCAGCCCTGGGCCGGCTCTAGACGGCGTTTCTGTCCTGAACTGTGGCTCACACCAAAGCGTTTACAGGCCCAGCAAGGTGGGTCTGTGCTCCAACTCCAGGCAGCTGCAAACGCCACTTTGCTTTTGCAAACAAAGTTTTAAGACGACCCTTGAAGGTAGTGGCCTCATGGTCGAGGCTGCGTTTTGGTTTTTCTGAGTGACTAGGAGACTCTTCCTTGAAGTCAAGATGGCCCTGCTGTTTCAAAAGGGTCCTAGATCCCGCTTGCATCTGCAGAGAGGGGATAGGATCCATCATTGTCAGGGAGCTGTCCTGTCTTCGTTCTTCGGACCTCCAGGTGGTGTCCCCGAGTGTCTCCTAAGTCGGGCCTTGTCACCGCCATACAGTCGCACGAGCACACATGGCGGCTATACCCGCAGCGGCTCCCTGCCCTGCGTACTGTTTGTGTGGGGTGGCAGGGCTTTGACCCTCGGGTCACGGGCAGGTTTCAGCACGGCTCACTGCAGGGCCTGGGAGAGGCGGCTGTGTGCAGCGCGGCCTGGACTCCACGGGCGTGTGTCTGTGGGTGGTGTGAGCAGGGCCGAGCGCCAGTGAGCTGCCTGGAGAGAAGATGGGCAGGCCTTCAGCCCCAACGCCCCCTTCCTCCCGCTCCCTCCTCTGCCCTTGGTTCCCGCTGCTCCGTGGGGCCTGGCAGCCTCCCAGCTCCCCGCGTGCTGCAGGCTGGCTTTGGAGCCCGTGGCTGGCCCTTTTGTAACTTGTGTGTTCTCAGTGGAGTCATTTCACACACGTTTTGTTAGTACCTGCATGCTTGGACCCCCTGAGACCTGTGGCTGCCATGACGACCGAGCTCGCCAGGTGTTCACAGACGAGAAGCAGAGAGAGGGAAGCGTGCGATGGGGGAGCGGGGTGACGTGGGCCGGCCCAGGGCTGCTGGGAAGGGCCACCGCCTGGTGTTCACCGGGAGGGAGGCCCCGGGGCCCGGACCTGGGCTCGGGGCGGCCCTGGCACTGAGGCAGTGAAGGGGGGAGGTGGCCGCGGGAGGAGCGGGGTGGCTGTGGGCAGCTGTCTTCACGGCAGCGGGGGCAGCTCGGGCCGAGGCACGTGTGTGGGCAGCCACGAGCAGGTCCAGGGTAGGCATTTAGAACGTAGCTGCAGGTGGCCCTCGATGGGAGGGTGGAGCCACCTCATGAAAGGCTCCTGTGTCCTATAAGGGAGTTGACATTATCTAGAAGTGAGTGTGATGTCCCAGGGACTCTGGCAGCCGGGTGACAAGACTCTTGATGTGGGTGTGGCCTTTGCTTGCGCCTCCCTCTGGTGAGAGAGTCATCCTGCCTTTCCCCAGGCCCTTTTTTCCATCCTCCTCACCCCTCCCAGGTTTCTAGGAGACCCTCTTTGAAGGATACCCCCGCTACTCCGTCTCCCTGTCCCTAGGAAAGGCGCGGGCTTGTTGCGCGTGGTGTCCCCAGGCTTTCAGGCCCGCAGCCTGCCCTCTCCTTCCGCAGCAGGGCCTCCTGGGCCCCCTGCCGGCCGCCCGCCCGCCCTGCTGCAGGGCGACGCCTGAGACCCAGCCTCCCTCCCCGAGCTCAGTACCTCTCGGCCCTGCTCTGCTGTGGGGTTTTTATAAACGACTTGGCTGAGATCGTTGTGAGTGTGCCGGTCTCACGCGGGGGACCACCAGGAACGGTCTGGAAGATCCCAGCAGATGGGGAGGAGGTTGGGAAGGACGCATGGCCGGGGCCGCGCCGGGAAGAGCTGGGGCCCCCGGGCCACAGGAGCGAGGTGTGAGGGACCGCAGAAGGCTGCCTCTTTCTCTTTTACTTTATTACAAAATATTTTCAAACACACCAGTAGAAGGAACATTGCAATGAAAACGTCTGTCCCTGCCACTCCGTTAATGATGATTCGCGTTTTACCAAACTTGCTTCATATAAACCATATGTCACCGATGGGACATAATGTTCCACCCTGACTCCGATTTGGGAGAATTAACAACAATGCCCTAATGCTGCAAACTCGGTTCTTAGCTGGGCTGTTTTTAGTAGGATGGGGACAAGGTGACCTGACGAAGTGTCACCTTTGTTGGGGAGGCTAAACCTGCTCTCGGCTGGACGTGGACTGTAAAAAGTATTTAAGGCTCCTCCCAGCTCTGACTGAAGTACTTCAAACTTTGGAGCAGGCTCTATAGACTGTAAAATTTATCTTTTATTGTTTTGTCCAAATTGAAATCTGGAGTTTTTAGAGGAAATCCTTTGGTGGGTTCTGTGTTTATGTATAAACGTAACAATGTGTTTTTGTATGCGAACAGGTGCTAATTGGCTGTGTCTGTAATGTGGTTGATAGTTTAAGTTGCATCTTCAGGAATTGTGTATGGTTATGAATCTTGGTTCATGCATTTCAAGACACAACGTTTGTAAATTTATTCTTTTAGCCGTAATATAGTTTTAGCCATTTGTTCCAATAACTTTTCCCTAGTTTTCTGTAATGTGACATCTTATTATTTTCAAATAAGGGCATCAGATCATTTTGGGGGGAAGAGTGACTTATTAGGAGAGGCTAGTAAGAAACACAGAAATTTAAGTGGCTTGTTACATTAAAGGTTTATCTTCTACAGTTCCTTTAGCCACTGTGGGGGCTGGAGGCGGGGGCCCTGCTCCAGGCGACCACTCGGGGACCTTTCCCCCGTGGGCTGCTGCTGTCCTGTAGGCTTGGCCTCCAGGAACTTTGCAGGAGGGGAGCAGCAGTTCTTTTTCACAGGCCAGAACTAAGTGGCATGGGCCAACCTCCAAGACAGGGAGGCTGGAAATGTAGCTTGGCTGTGAGCCCAGAGGGACGGTTAAACCCGTGCGGTGAGTAGGTAGCACTGCCTTTGCCACAGAGGGATGGAGGAGGGGGTGGGTGTGCTGCCGCTACTCAGCCGGGGAGCTCCTTGGTGCTCCTGGGGAGAACCCACTTCTCCCTCCCCCAGACGTGGAGTTCACGTCCCCGGAAGCCACGCAAGTGGCGTGCGGGGAGAGGGCCACGGAGGCAGGAGCTCCAGGCTGGAGCTTTGAGGACTGTGTGATTGACAGAGAGATGCCGGAATCAAACATTAATCCTGCTGACGGCTGGGCACCATCGGCCCCCAGAATAGTGGTCCTGAAGGCAAAGCCTGCTGTGTTCCTAAACAAACCAGTGTGGTCTGGTAGAGGGGAGTGGTACTGTCTCCTGCAATTGTTGGAGAAATGAAATAAGACAGATAAGCTGCACCCCACTGGTGATAAAATTGACACTCCCCATACACCATGAGTAAGTTTCAGACGCACAACCAGCTCCGAGGTGGGGATGGGTGCTGGAAGCCTCTCTAGCCTTATGTAATCGTTTGCCAACTCATCTGGTGAAAGACAAACACAGCGAAGGCTTCAAGTGTGCAGAAATAGAGATCTTTTCCAAAGAGCGAAATAAGATGCCAGTAGGAGTCGACTGTCTGAACCACGTGGGTGGGAAAAGGGGCAAGGGGGCCTTGCGCTCCCTCACCCTGGAGCGGCAGTGGTCCTGGCCAGCAGGGGGGTGGGGGGAGGGGGGGAGAGCAGGGGGGTGCGGGGCTGTCAGGAAGGAAGCCGGGAGCAGCCCTTCTTAAAGAGGACGGTGTGAAACACTTTAGAAAAAGGAGCGGTGCCCGCAGCAGTGTGAGGAAGCTCTGCCTGTACTTAGGGCCTGGCTGTGGGGCTGCACCATCTGGATTTGATTCCTGGCTCCTCTGCTTTCTAGCTATGAAACCATAGGCAAGTTATTTAGCCACCCTGCATCTACTAAATGGGGCTAAACTTGTAACTGTGCCATACAGTTTTTAGGCTGAAGTATGCCAGTTTTTATAAAGCACTTAAACTAGAGCCTGTTTCTGCAGGTAGCCCCCACGCAGCCCCCGAAGACACTCGCCGAGGGCCTGGCTCAGCTCACGCTCAGCGCAGGGCTTGGTGATTACCGTGTTTATATGCTTAATAGAAATTGCAATGGAAACATTACTTGCCCTTGGTACAAAATACTACTTCTCTTTCCTGGAGAACATTGTGCACTTCGGGGCATGAAACCTCAAGAGAGGAGATCCTGGGAGGTCCAGGGAGAATTGTTAAACCGTCGGTGGGGGGTGGGGAGTCATGTGCTGGCGAAGAGAGGGTGCCAGTAAGGGGGACAGTCTCCAAGCTCGCTGCAGCCCAGGCTGCGTGGCCTTGGGGAGTGACCCAGGAGGAGCCGGCTTTCTGCGCAGAGCTGACCTGTGGGGGATCGCAGCCGGGAACCCCGTGGGGCCCCTTCGAGGCAGGGGGCCAGGAGACGTGGGCCCATTGGAGCCCCGGGAGTGAAGGGTGCTGGCGCCTCCTGGAGGTGTGCCTGTGACCGGGCTCAGGTGCGTGGACCGCCGCGCGCGTCAGCTGGCAGCGACAGTAGAAATGAGCGTGCTCTCACTTTCATTTTCAGGGTGAGCCCAGGGAACTTGTTCTCACAGTGACATCATGAAGCCAGGGGCCCTCCTGGGACTAGAGCTCTGGCCTCTGACTCCTTCTTGGTGACTCTCTGGTCTGACCCAGCGCGGCGGGAGGCTGACCACAGTCTGTGGGCTGCAGAGCGCTGCCTGGTGGCTGCCCAGTCCTCTTTGGCACTTGTTTCACGTCCCCATTGAGAGTGTTGTAAACAGCCTGGAGTCTTATGGAGACCGGCTACCAAGATGAAAGGGACACTGGCCTGCCTTGAGGGATTTAGGATGATCTGAAACTCAGCGGAAGCCCCTCTAATCTCTGATCCTCTGATCTCCGGCATTTGGGACTGGAGTTTGCTTAACTACGTGTATTGCCTTGGTGTCCTGTTCGCTGCTGCTTTCCTGCTCCTTGGACGTTCCTGGGCTTGGTCCCATCGCAGAGTGTTTTATTTTCCCTTTTCGAATTGCACAGGTAACGGCGGGAGAGGAGCTCCTGTGTTCACCGGGGAGGTAGACTGCACCTACTTTTTCACGTGGGACACGAAGTATGCCTGTGTCAAAGAGAAGGAGGACCTCCTGTGCAGCGTCACCGACGGCAAGAAGCGGTACGACCTGTCTGCCCTGGCCCGGCACTCAGGTACGGCTCCTGCGCCTGGGTCGGTCTCTCCCTCATGCGTGTTTGTGGGAACATTTTCTTTCCTCCTTCCCCATGAATGTGTTCGGAAACGTTGTTCCTGTCTCCTTTGTCAGCCCCTCGGAGCGTGGCCTTTCTCTCCCATCTCACGGAGCAGCATGCCTGGGCCCTGGCTCGGCCCCCGGTCGGGCACACTCCTGGGTTGCAGATTTAGCCCCTGGGCATGGCACATGGGAGACGCAACCGATCGATGTTTCTCTCCCTCTCTTTTTTCCCTCCCTTCCCCTCTCTCTGAAAAGGAAAAAAACAAAAATGATGGCGAATCAGGAGGCAGAATATCTGAATTTGTGGCTGGCATCACCATTTTCTATGTGGAGTCTTTTGAGCTGATTTTAAGTGCCTACTGTGTGCCAGGCCTTGTGCTATGTCACTAGACACTTTTTTGTTTTTAAATTAAACTTTCGTTGCTAAGGGAGTAGATCTTACAAGATCCCATCTCTCTCCCTCTACGCCCCCCCCCGCCCCCTCCGCCACCCCCGCACACACCCCTATCTCTGTGTGGCGATGGATGTTAAAAACTAAGTTTATTGTGGTGGCCATTTCACAATATATGCACGTAGCAAGTCGTCATGTGGTACACCTGAAGTGAATACAATGTTACAGTGTTATAGATCAGTTATACCTGAATGAAAAAAATTTTTAAATACATTGTAGGTAGGCAGGATTCCCATTGAACACGTGGATTGTCAGCTCAGAGGGTAGAGGGCTTGGCATGAAGGTTGGCGGCTGGGTCGTCAGTTCCTGCCTTGGACTGTGTGCTTTCCTCTTTGACTCACCCACCGTCTCCTCTCCCGTCTCCACAGTGGGGTCGGCATTCCCTCTCCAGCCCCCGAGTCTTTGACGCTGCCGGGCGGACGCGCGTGGGAGCCCCTGGGACACTGTGCGGCGTGGTGTCGGGGCGCGGGGGGGGGTCGTCACGGAGGCTGGGCCCTGGGTGAAGGCTCGCCGCGTGAGGCCGATGTGTTCATTTGCTGCACAAGGGCCTGTTGAGCATTGGTGATACGCAAGCACGGACTGCGTGTGGGGACCCGCTGGCAAACCTGACACGCGTGATCTGCGCCCGTGGGCTGTACAGTCCAGGGCCAGAGAAGACCGGATGATTCGAATGGGGCTCCCACAGGGATAACCGAATCTAGTTTGGGGAATTTCTAGCTTTATCTTTTCAGCAGCCCTGGCCTTTGGTGTGTGTTGAGAAGCCCGCTGCATCCGTGAGGTGGAGATAATATCCGCGACAGAGAGAACAGGTTGCCTGACGTCAGAGCAGCTGGCCGTGACAGGAACTCGTGTCCCGAGTCCTGTCCGGCTTGGAGTGTAGAATCCTGGGAGGAAGTCCCCCTTTAGAGAGTGCTGCAGAGCTTTCCTTTGAACTCGGGGCCCGGAAGTGGACGTTCTTTGTGCTTCGTATTCCGGGGCCCATTCAGCAGCCGGCAGCGGTGCCCCAGCTAGCTCTGCGTGCTCCCGAGGAGACCGGCTTTCTGCGGAGTGGGAAGACTGCGCGCCCCGAGCGCAGAGCGGGTGGAAGACTGGTGTGGCTGGGTCCAGCTGTGTCATTTGGGCAGGTTTACTACCTTCTCCAGGCCTCAGTTTCTCTGCAGTAAACTCGGCGGGGACATTAGATCCTGCTCTCCAACCTTTCCCAAAAAACAGAGCTGTGCACGACCCAGCCTGGGGTCTGCGGCGGGGTGGGGCACCCTCATCCCTTTAGGCAGCCTCCCCCACTGCCCTGGCCCCACCCCACTCTAAGGACGCTCTGCGGAGAGAGCTGGAGTTCTCTCCCGCTCACCAGAAACGCCCTCCTGCTGCACAGCTTGGCAGGCCACTCTGCTCTCCCCCAGACCTCCGGGGCGGCGTTTGTCCTGTTTGTTTGCGCGGCCCTTGCAGGTGCCTCCAGGCTAGTGGCACGGGGTGGCACTCTGCCGACATGATTGTAGCAGCACCTTCGACACCCGGCCTCCAGCCTGTGAGAGGCATAGCTTCACAACATACCTTCCCCTCTTTTAAAGATTTTACCTATTTATTTTTAGAAGGAAGGGAGGACAAAAGAAAGGAGAGAAACACTGATGTGAGAGGGGAAGATCGAGTGGTTCCCTCTCCTGTGCTCCCCGACTGGGGATGGGGGCCTGGGGACTGAATCCACAACCCAGGCGTGTACTCTGACCGGGAATTGAACCGGCAACCTTTTGCTTTGCAGAGCGATGCCTAACCAGCCGCGCCACACCCTAGCCGTAAAGTCAGGGCTGTATGCCCTTCTTTAAACAGCCTTCCTTCATTCCCTGGGCCACGGTCAATGGGCTGGTCCGCCTTGCGGGACGACCCTTTGCTCTCTTGCCCTCAGCGCTCGGCAGGCCCGCCCTCGGCCTGGCGTAGTGTTTTGACCCGTTTCTGTTCCTCTGGGACTGGTTAGTGAGCTGTCTCGAGTCCAGGGCCCGCACAGCTCCTGCGCGTCCTCGGTGGCACTGAGCCTGCCCTGCCGTGGCCGGCTGCGCCGCCGAGGGGGCCGGTTGCTGGGAGCCGCACAGGCCGTCCGGGCGGGCTGACGAAGGGCATGCCCCCAACGGCCCGGCCGGCGTCCGGACTGGCATTTTGGTTTCTGATTTCATGCTTCGGGGCTTGGGAGAGTTTCCCTGTTTGTGTGTCCCCCTGCCATGCCTACTTTTCTAAGAGACTGTGGGGGTGGCTTATCCCTGTCGCAAAGTGGAAAGCCTGAGCCCCTCGGGGAGTGGCCGTGCCTGTCGCCGCCCGGTCCAGGACTGCGGCTGCCTGGGGCTTTGCGGCCACACGCTTGGTGAGCTTCTAGCTTTTCCCTTCCACTCACTCATCCTTCACGGTGTGACTCAGAAACCGTCACTTCGGCTCAAGGATCCTTTATTTATTTATTTTTTAACAGAACCAGAACAGAATTGGGAAGCCGTGGATGGCAGCCAGAAGGGAACAGAGAAGAAGCATTTCTTCATTAACATCTGCCACAGGCTGCTGCAGGATGGCAAGGCCAGGGGCTGCGCCGAGGACGCGGCCGCGTGCTCCGTGGGTGAGTGCTGCCTGGAGCTGGGCCGATCTGGGGGGTTGGACCGCCTCCCTGTGGATTCGCTCAGCCGCGCTCTCTGCATTCAGCAGATAAGGGATGGTAAAGAAAACAATGACTCAACCGTCGGTAATACCCAGTGCAGTCTAGGATGAAGACCGTGCGGGGCCTGCAGCTGGCCACAGTCTTCTGATGTGGGTGAACACTGGGGCAGGGGACGGAGAGCACTTTGTTGGAAAACACTTGGTTAGGGACAACATTGCTGGGACTTGTGTAAAACGGGCTTTGATATTGTAAAAGCTTTATACTGCCTGGAGTTGTTCAAAAGTTATGGGGTAAGGCGACAAGAATCTGACATTGTAGCCTTCGTCTGAGAACACCGTCCCCTTCCGTTCCTTCTGCCGTGGTTGCGTTGGTCGGGAGTTGTCCCTTGGAGACGGCTCGGTTTGGTGGACACATGTAGCCCGCTAGTTGTCACTTAAGACTCACGTTGAAAATGAGAGGTAGGGGGAGTAATTCAGATCTCTCACAAGCACGGAGTAAGGCGTTGTAAAGGCCATGGGCTTCCGGAATCCCCCCCCATTCAGACTAGTGCTGTGTCTTCCCGAGCCTTTATTTAAGAAGGGCCTGAGTGGGGTTTCAAACCTCATAGAAAAGTCAGCTGAACCAAGAATTAAGTGGTCGCCTTCTTGGCTCGCTAAACAGGCTTTGTTAGTTTCGGCTTTGTTCTTGGGACACCCTCTGGCCTTTGTGCTTTTACAAGCCCCGCGTCTCGAGGGAGCTGGGGCCCCCAGAACAGGGAGTGGTATTAACTTCCCGGGATGGGAGGACGTGCATGCTGGCCGTCCCGCCTCCTGTGGGCTGGAGGAGGCCGTCTTTCCTTCTCGCACTTTGCTGCTAAGCCTGGAGGTGGCTGCCACCACCCGGCCAAACTTGTTACTCGAGAAAACCTCACAGGCCATGTGGGCCGGGCCGGCCGGCAGGCTGAGCGGGGGCTGTAGCATGCCCGCCGGGCTGTGCCGGGTTGTTGGTACCTCTTTGTGTCATTGTCATTTTTAATCATGTCTCTGTTTTTCTCTCCTTTCTTTTTTTCCAGTTAAAAATGAAATTAAAAATCTGGGCAAATTTACTTCCTCTCCCACAAAACAGAAAGGGAACATTCAACTCTCTTATTCAGATGGCGATGTTTGTGGTGATAACAAGAAAATACAAACTAATATAACACTTATATGCAAGCCAGGTAAACATTTATTTTTTAAATATGTTATTGATTATGCTATTTCAGTCGTCTCAGTTTTTCCCCCTTTACCCTGTCCTCCGCACCCCCACTTAGTTCACGTCCATGGGTTGTGCATGTAAGTTCTTTGGCTTCTCCATTTCCTGTACTGTTTTTGACACCCCCCTGTCTCTTTTGTTCCTACCATTTATGCTTCTTTATCCCTGCAGTTTCCCCCCCCATTCTCCCCTTTTCCCCTCTCAGCTGACAACCCTCCATATGATCTTCATATCTATGACTCTCATCCTGTTCTGGTTGTTTGCTTAGTTTGTTTTTTTTAGATTCAGTTGTTTGTTGATAGTTGTGAATTTGTTGCCATTTTAACGTTCATAATTTTGATCTTTTTCTTTATTAAGTCCCTTTAACATTTCATATAAAAATGGCTTGGTGATGATGAACTCCTTTAGCTTTACCTCATCTGGGAAGCACTTTATCTGCCCTTCAATTCTAAATGATAGCTTTGCTGGAAGAATAATCTTGGATGTAGGTCCTTCTCTTTCATGACTTTGAATACTTCTTGCCAGTTGCTTCTTGCCTGCAAAATTTCTTTTGGGAGATCAGCTGATAGTCGTATGGGCACACCTTTGTAGGGGACTGTCTCCTTTTCTCTTGCTGTTGCTCTTAAGAGTCTCTCTTCGTTTTTAACCTTTGGCATTTTAATGATGTGTCTTGGGGTGTTCCTCTTTGGGTCCATCTTGTTTGGGACTCTCTGTCCTTCCTGGACTTGTCTATTTCCTTCACCAATTTAGGGGAATTTTCCTTCACTATTTTTTCAAATAAGTTTTCAATTTCCTGCTCTTCCTCTTCTCCGCATGGCACCCCTGTGATTCAGATGTTGGAACATTTAAAGTTGTCCCAGAGGCTCCTTATACTATCCTTGTTTTTATTTTTTCTTTTTCCTTCAGGCTGTTGTGATTGGATGCTTTTTCCTACTTTATGTTCCAAATCGTTGATTTGATTCTCAGCCTCATCCTCTCCACTGTTGGTTCCCTGTACATTTTTCTTTATTTAGTGTAACCTCTATTTCTTCCTGTATGTTTTGGCTGTACTCAGTGAGATCTTAGAACCTTCTGATCACCAGTGTTTTGAACTCTGCATCTGATAGGTTCGTCATCTCCATTTCTTTCAGTTCTTTTTCTGGGATTTTGATCTGTTCTTTCATCTGGGCCATATTTCATTGTCTCCTCAATTCAGCAGCCTCCCTGTTTGTTTCTGTGTATTAGGTAGAGCTGCTTTGACACTCTGTAAAAGGCTCCTGTAAATTGTGCGGGCCGGAGTCTTAGGTAATCTCCAGGGCGAGGCAACCCGCAGTGCCACTTTGCGGCTCTTCCGTGGGGACGGCTCGGAGAGGGGACAGTGCAGCTGCCTGGCTTCTGAAGGCTTGCCCGGACTCGCCCCGTTTTCTCTTATTTCCCCCACTTCCCGTATGTGACTGGTGCCCTTCTAGCTGCTGCCCTGGTGGCGGTTCCCCAAGTGAGTGGGTTTGCCTATGTTCAAAGTCCATGCAGGCCCTTTAAACGGACTCTCTGAAAAGCCAGCAGTTTCCTCTGCTGCCCCAACCCCCACTGGTTTTCACAGCCAGGTGTTCTGGGGCCTTATCTTCCTGGCACTGGAACCCTGGGCTGTGCGGTCTGGCCTGGGGCTGGGATCCCTCGTTTCCATGGCATCCTCCCAACGTCTCTCTACCACATGTGAACGTGGGACCGCCTATGCCACCGCAGCCACTGGGGTGCCTTGCGTGCCACACCGTGTCTCCACCAGTCTCTGCCCCTTCTCCTATCTGGATGGATGTGGCTCCTCTAAATCCTTGGTTGTCAGACTTCCATACAGATCGATTTTCTGAAGGTTCGGGTTGTTAATTGTTTTGAGAAATAGTTGTAATTCTCTCTGTGGTTGCCTGAGGAGACGACGTGTGCCTACCGACGCCTCCATCTTGACCAGAAGTTCCGCCACGTGAACGTTTAAAGAAAGGAAAGAAAAAGAAGAAACGTTCGTGGCTTTTGCAAGGGGTGTGCCCACATTCTCCATTTCTCTTCTTCTCATTGGCCACCGCCAAGGTGATGAGGTCAAAAGGGGTGGTGCCAAGATTTCAGGCTGCAGAATCTTTAGTGGTGGTCAGTGGGACTTGACCCCCCACCCACCTGCCTAAACCAGTCTGGAAATGGAGAAACCACCTGTGTCTGAGGACGTTGCACTGTAGTTTCCCTAAAGAGTGATGGTCTGTGTGTGGCTGCTTCCTCCTAAGGATGACGCACCTGCTTGGCGCCCCCTACAGGCCAGGATCCGTGAGCGGCCGCCCGTCCTGCCCGGGGCCCTGGCATTGCGCACCATGCTCGTCTTTCCTTTACTTAAGTGGTTGCACAGGATCAGACCTCTAGTCACATATGTTGATGTTCCTGCAAGCATAGTATTTTGTGAATACTCTTCTTGGTTTTACAGTTACAGTTACAATTTTTTGAGAGTTCCCTGTGGACAACATTGATGGCTTGATTTTACTATTGTTAACCATTTTCCTTACTGCTAGATTAATAAATAGCACGTTTCCATGGTTGCCACTGTGCATTTACATGTCCTCTTTCCCTCGTGTTAAAGTACTTCCTTTGGAATCATTCTCAGCTTTAGAATAAGGCCAGGGACTAGGACTTTTTTTTCTTTTTTTTTTTTAGTATTTAAAAAAAAAACTTACGGTATAATATACATAACACAAAGATTGTATTTTTTTTTTTTTGAGAAGTTGCAGTAAAATATACACTACATGAAATTCCCCATTTTAACTACTTCAAGTGTGCAGCGCTGCAGCGTTGGGCACATCCACTCTGCTGTGCAGCCGTCACCACCATCTGTCCCCAAAGCGATGGACACTCCGTCCCCATCAAACACTGGCTCACCTTCCCCTCCCCCGGCCCCTGGCCGCCGCCGTCCCTTCCTTCTCCCTCTGTAGGTTTGACACGTCACGTGTGTGGACTCACATGGGATCTTAGGACGATGCGTGGAATTAGGGGAGATATTTCGGGAACGGCTGGTAATGGTTCTTTCCTCCCCGTTGACAGGTGACCTAGAAAGTGCCCCGGTGCTGAGAGCCTCTGGGGAGGACGGCTGCTCCTACGAGTTTGAGTGGCACACGGCCGCCGCCTGCGTGCTGTCCCGGACCGAGGGTGACAACTGCACCGTCTTCGACGCCCAGGCAGGTGTGTGTCTGAGCAGCACCCGGTGGGGGTGGGCCTCCTGGACCTGCCTGGAGTTTCTTAGGCCCACCTGAGGACATGCTCCTTGATTATGGAGAGAGGGGAAGGGAGGGAGAGAGACGTCTGTCGGGGAGGGAAACCTCCAGCGGTTGCCTCTCGCATGTGCTGGGACCGAGGCAGAACCCACAACCTACCTGGGTCTCTGCCGTCCTGATCCGGAACTGAGCCTGTGACCTTTCGGTTTATGGGATGACACTCCAACCCACTGAACTGCACCAGCCAGGGCCTGCATAGGCTTTTTAAACAAGTACTTTCTTATGAGAGCTTTAGAAGTTACCTGCTTTGACGTGACATGAATACTGTTTGACCAAAAGTCCAAAAACCAGAACTTTGAGGCTTGAGATAATGAAAAATGTGCCTTAAATTCCTGGTTGCAGTAAGTTTACTGAATGTAAAACCTGAGGGTCACAAGGGAGTAAGTCATGTTTGAAAGGGAAATTCTGGCCAAGAAACTCACCTCAAGAGAGACCTGTCACGTAGGTCCCTGGGTGGTGCTTGCCCTGCTTTGGACACATTGCTTGTTTGTTTGACCAGGGCTTTGAGTAGAATTTTTGGGTTAACAATGTACTGTGGTAGTGAATACATCGCCAAGGGACATGTTGGACTGTGCTCTGGTGTCCGAAGGGAAGAGCCTCTCTCCCGCCGCCTCAGTCTCCTTGCCCCCGGAGGCCCTGGGAAGAACGCCGGTGCCTGCGGCTGCGGTCGCCCTTCCTGATTGTAGTCCAGCTGACCTTCCATCTGTGCATTATTTTTGCTCTTTGGCAGGGTTTTCCTTTGACTTGTCACCTCTCACAAAGAAAGATGGCTACAAGGTTGAGACCGAGAAGTACGACTTCTACATAAACGTTTGCGCCGCCCTGTCTGCGGGACCCTGTCCTGCAGGCTCTGGGGCCTGCCAGATATCAAAAAGGCAAGTCGCCGTGCACGGCTATTAGGGCTTCTCCTTAGGTGTCCTGTGTAGCAGATGTTTCATTCAGGATCGGGAGTGTTCTCTGCTAACATGTGGCTTTGCAGTGAGCCCTCAGACGCTGAGAAAATGGAGCCTACCCACCAGGGGACTCAGGGGTTTAGTTTCCCAGAGAAGGGGCTGCCACGCTCTTGGGAAAGGACAGGTCACATGATGCCTTGTTTCTGTGCAGCTGGCTCTTCTCAGGTGCTAGATATTTAAGTACATGTTTCTTCCTTCTCTAGTTCAGGTGAAGTGAGCTGTGCCTTCCACCAGCTGTGGGTTTGGGTTCCCAAGTGGGGGCGGGCAGACCCTCCCTCGGGGTCAGGGTGGTCTGCAGCCCTGAGTCCTGGTCACAGTGGCCGCCCGTCCTGCGTGGCAGCCCATCTTCCAGTGTCCCAGCCTGGCAGGGCGGTCCCTGGTCTTGGTATCTCTTCTGAGAGGCGTTTGCTTGTTTTAGTGATAACAAGGCTTGGAACTTGGGACAGAGCAATGCTAAGCTTTCCTATTACGATGGGATGATCCAGCTGAACTACAAAGACGGCACACCCTATAATAACGACAAGCACACGCCGAGAGCGACGCTGATCACCTTTCTTTGTGACCGAGACGCTGGAGTGGGCGTCCCAGAATACCAGGTAGGGATGTGCTGGGTGGGCACGCAAGTGGGCCTGCACGCAACACCAGGGAGGGGACGCCCGTCTCCGGAGGCCGGAGAGAGGCCGGAGAGAGGAGAAAAGTGTCAGGACTGGGCTGGTGACTTTCTGGAGTGAGATGAGGTCCTCACCGTAGGTGAGGTAGGAGCTGGGGTGCCCCTGGGGACAAACTGTCAGGTTGCCTGGCTCCCCAAGATCGCACACAGGCCTGCCGTGGCCCTTTATTTAGAAGCAGAGCTATCTTTAACCTGGTTTCCTGGCCACGCTATCATGTCTTGAGATCTTAACGAACCCTTGAGGCTTTAGGACCCAGCGGCAGTCTCCATCCCCTGAGCTGTTTGCCCAGGGGCCGCGCCCCTGGGATGGCCCACCAACCCGATGGCAGCACCAGAACCATCTCTCACTCCCACTTAACAGAGACTAGATTTCTATCTTATTTTTTTACTGGACACTCATCCTTCTAATAAAATGAGGCGGGCAAAATAAACTTGCCTCTCCTCCAGCGTTTGTTTATAGAAGATGCGCCTGTCCGTTTTTGATGCTGGCTTTGCGTAAAATCCCTCTCTCTGCCACCCCTCCCCCTCCTCTCCTGTCTGTGGTTAAGGAGGAAGAGAACTCCGCCTACAACTTCCGGTGGTACACCAGCTACGCCTGCCCCGAGGAGCCCCTGGAGTGCGTGGTGACCGACCCCTCCTCGATGGAGCAGTACGACCTCTCCAGGTGAGGCGGGTCCGCCTGGCCCAGGCAGTGCGGAGGCTGTGTAGGCCCTGCTGGGGAGCACGTGACTGACCGCCGGCGGGGAGTCCAGTTGGTTCTGGGGTGCGGGACCGAGATGGTCAGTGTTAAGCAGAATGAATTCTAATGCTGGTCTGGGAGCCTTGGTGGTACAAGCGGGTCTTTGCCACAGAGCCTCCGTCTCCAGCTGCACCATTTAAATCAGTGACTTGCCGAGACAGAGGTGCGGGGGCGGCTGGGCGGTGCTGAATCCTGAGCTCAGTGAAGTCGAGTATGCTCGCGGGTGGCGGGTGGCGTGCGTCACGGAGAGCTAGCCTCCCGTTGACTGGGAGGGTGTGTTGTGTTCTGTATTTCTCTGACGACTCAGAAGTGGGTTGTCAGAATGAAACCTGTGGGTTCCAAAACCACTCATTTCGCTTTGAAATTTTAGGCTCGCGAAATCTGAAGGCGGCCGTGAAGGAAACTGGTATGCCTTGGACAACGCGGGAGAGCACAGTATGTGGAGGAAATACTACATAAACGTGTGCCGGCCTCTGAACCCCGTGCCAGGCTGCGACCGCTACGCGTCCGCGTGCCAGATGAAGTACGAAAACAATCAGGTGAGTCTGCCCGCCCAGCCGTCTGGCTCTCGGAGCACGTGCCGCAGTAGGAGGGCGTGGTTATTGGGGCTCCCCGAGATCGAAGCAGTGCTGGCCGCTGCAGGGGGCCTCGGAGTAGGAGCGGGCCGTGCGTGGGTGCGATTGTGCGTGAGTCGTCGTTCGGATTCAGCCCCAAATGAGCCTTGGAGTTGGTGGCCTCTGGTCACAGTACAGGGCAGAGGAAGCCCCTGGCGGTGCCTAGCTGGCCTGAATCCAAGAGTGCCTTTGAGTGACCAGCCGGCATCTGTAAAGAACACTTTCTGCTTCCAAAAGCTTTCCCTTCTGGCTAAGAAGGGAGAGTTGCTAGATCCAGGCATGTGCCTCGCCTGCGCACAGGGCTGCGCCTGGCCATCGGCGAGCGCGGTCACTGCGGCACTCGGGTGTGTTTCCTTGTGCTTTTGCACAGGGTGTCTTAGAGGTGGGCGCATGCTGCTCTAACGGCAGCACGTCGGGGGTCCTCTCCCTGGCCTACGCTCTGGTGTCTCGTGGCGCTGGCGAGCTGTGGTGGAGAGCAGGGCCCCAGGGTGCGGGCGTGCGCCCGCATGCGCACGCTGTGGGAGCAGGAGACTCAGGCCAGCCAGTGCTCGATGTTCATGGATTCCACATTTGCAGATTCTTCTAGCGACTTGCATTTGTTACCCCAAACCCACACCCTTAGCTCTTTCCCAGGCATTTGCGGGGTGAGCGCAGGGGCCCGATGGGCACGTCCCCACTGAGGTGGGACAAGAGGCTGCTCTGCGCCCTTGCCTCCTCCCTGTGCAGACGACCAGAGGATGGGGTCGGGGGTCGGGGGCCGGGCCCAGGCAGGGCGGATGGGTTGGAGCCCTGCCTCTGATGCTTGCTGGAGGGGTGGCCTTGGACAGGTCACCGCGTCTGAACCTCGTCTTCCTGTCATAAAGAAAGGGCCGTAGAATTGACCAGCGTGAGTCGTTCTGAGGCTTTTAAGACCATGTTCAGAATGAGATCTGAGCACACAGAGCCGCATGTGTCCCGTGGGTAAGAATGCGCGTTCTGTGTTCACTAACTCAGCGTTGGCGGTGACTTTATAGACCGCAGGCCACGGCGAGTAACCGGAGCCCGCTGCGCCGTCGGCGATGGAGCCAGAACCTGACGACGTGTCTGTTTGCAGGGCTCGTTTTCGGAGGCTGTCTCCATCAGCAACTTGGGTGTGGCCAAGACAGGCCCCTCGGTGGAGGAGAGCGGCAGCCTCCTGCTGGAGTACGTGAACGGTTCGGCCTGCACCACCAGCGACGGGAGGCAGACCACCTACACCACCCGGATCCACCTCATCTGCTCCCGGGGCAGCCTGGTAAGGCTCTGCTCGCCCCGGGATGGGGTCCTTCTCGGGGCCCCCCGGGACCAGGACTGCGGGATTTGTCTCTTCATGGAGGCGCATGAGCTGGGGGCCGGTGGCGCATGAGCTGGGGGCCGGTGGAGCGTGGTCGCTGTGAATCCTGCTGCAGGCTGGCGTGCGCTGGAAGTCGGAGGGGAGGCAGGGTGCCCGTAGCGGCGCTTTGTGTTTTTGTGCTTCTGGCCGTTCAAGCCCATTCTTGCGTGGCCGGTAGGCGGCACACACCGCACGGTGCTCTGTAGGCTGAGGATCACTCTGCGGTGCATGGCCCGTCCTGCCTGTTGGTTCTCGCAAGTTGATGACCGAGGGTCATGGCAACAGCACAGGCCTTGGCCTGGGTTCTGTCCTCACGGGTCACAGGAGAGGAGGCTGAGGCTCGGTTCAGCTCAGGCCCATGGACCAACAGGGAGGGACGTGTTTAATTCACCATCAGAACAGGACAAGGATATTAAGACCAGGAACTATAGGAAGGTGACAGAGACGGCTTTTAGCTGTGAGTTCCTTACTTGGGCAGAGCAAGGTGAGCGAGCCCCCAAGTACACGTGCTTCGGGGTCATTCCGTACAGCCCCAGTTGCTTTAAAAAAAATCGTGGCCAGAAATATTTAATGTAAAATTCATGATTTACCCATTATTTTAGGTGTGCAAGTCAGTGGCTTCAAGCATATTCACAGTGTTGCTTAACCATCACAGGTCTCCGTCTCCAGAGCTTCGGCATCTCAGACGGAATTGCTTTTTTACCTGGACTTTTACACTTAAGTGTGGGTCATGTGTTTTTCAGATAATTGCCAGGCTGTTAGATAAGTGCAGAGTGGAGGTACTGGAATCCGTGTTTATTATTTAATAGTCCACTTTTTAAGGGTATTTTACAGCTTCTTGTCGCCTCATTGAAATGAAGTAGCAACACGCGTTCCCTCTTCTCGTTAGCCCAGTGGACTTGGCTCCTTACCTTCCGGGAGTCCTGCAGACCCCAGGCGCGCTCTGTTTTTTGCCTTCACCTGATGTTTTTCTAAGCGATAATTTCTTCCAAGTTTGAGAAGGCCTCTCTGACAAGGAGCAGAGCTGCCCCCTGGCCGAGCCTGGCCCCCCGGTGCGCCAGGCAGGGCGCCAGAGCTGAGACTGGCACTCACGCCTCGTCAGCGAGCCACGCTTGGGTCCCCACGTCCTCCCTCAGTCTCAGGAGGGTGTCCTGGGGGCCCTGCCCACCCGGCCCTCGCCACCCCTGCCTGGTTTCTTGTTGCCGTGGCGATATTGGGCCTTTCCAGCAAGTCCTGTGACACCTAGTTTGGACAGCTTTTTAGTTTTGGGAACAAGTTCACTCTGTCACTGTATCTTGTACAGAGCCTGGTGCGTGTTGTGGTCCCAGGGAGTAATGAACAATGACATTCATGTCCACAGAGAGTTATACAAGTCACAGAACTGTCATGGTTTAAGCTCAGATGCTTTTACAACCACGCTGAGAGGCAGATGCAGGGCGATGTGTTTTTATTTTACTGTTGGAGATGGTGAGGCTGCAAGGGTGGGGGCTCCCAGGCCAGAGGGTGGTTGGTGGGCGAGGTGTGGGCTGGAGGTGACGCGGCTGTCACTTCGTTCCCTGTGAGCCTGTGCCTCAGTTTTCTCAGCTGTATGCAGATACCGGGTAATTACAGAATCCGGTGCAAAGGGTCATCGCGAGGCTTAGTTGAAAAACGCCACTGAACCTCTCGGCAGCGCCTGGTGTTGCATAAACGCTACAGATCGGAGCTGCCCCTGCCTGTAGCCAGGTGGTGCTGCCCCGTGAGGTGGCGTGGCCTGTGTTTGGGGACTTCTTACTGAAACACACCCAGAGAAGTGCACAGGTGGTAAGGTATGAACTGCTGGATGCCTTTTCACAAGTTGGCACACCTGTGTAACCGAGCCTCCGCTGCCCCACCTCCCCGTCCAGAAACGGGACACTGGCCGCACCGAGGATTCTCCTTAGGGCCCCTTCTGCTCATGGCTCAACCCCTGTTCCGACCTCTCACACCGCAGGCCGGTGTTGGGTGCTCGTGAGCTTACGTACAAGAAATGCCACCTCCCGTAGTCTCGCATCCTGGCTTACCGCATTCTGCACCCTCGGTGGGGAGCGATTTTCAAGAGCGTGGGCTTGGACTCAGACTTGGTTTTAGATCCCAGTTCCTCCATTTACTGCTGGCGTAACCTCAGGTAGATTTCTTAGCATCCAAGCCTGAGAGGGCAAAGCTCCCCGACAGGAATAACGAGGGCAGTAAGTTATAATTAGGTAATGCTCGTTAAGCACCTAGGCTATTGGTGGACACATAATGAAGTGCCAGGAGATTTTTGGCCATTTTTATGTAATGGACTGCGATTCTTTTGTTTTGATCAAGTTCCTTTTTCTGAGATTGACCGTTACCCTGGGTTTGACCTTTCAGAATACCCACCCGATATTCTCTCTCGTTTGGGAGTGCGTGGTCACATTCCTGTGGAACACGGAGGCTGCCTGTCCCATCCAGATAACGACAGACACGGACCAGGTACGTGTGCCGCCCAGGGCCTGGGCCGCCGGCCCTCCCACTGCGGCGTCCGGCTCTGCCCGCGCTCTGTCTCTTCTGCTCCAAACCTGTAGCCCGCGGCACCATTTCCTCTGCATCGACAGCAGGTTCCCCGAAGTTGTCCTTCGTCCCTCTCCCACCCCTGGCTCCCTGGTTACGTAGGTCTCTTCTTTTTTCTTTATCCCATTGTCCCTTTGAAGTGGCGGTGGCACCTCTGTGGGCTCTGGAGATCTCCATCGTCTGAGTGGCTAATACATCACTCCAATACCTAAAACATTTCAGTGCCTGTTGCCTAAAGCAGCAGTCCCCAATTTTTTTGGCACCAGGACCAGTTTCGTGGAAGACGGGATTGGGGAGAGGGCGCAGGGGTTGGGGGTAGGCAGGAGGCGGAGCTCAGGCGAGCTTCGCTTTTGGCCTGGTTCCCGACAGGCCGTGGACCAGTCCCTGGTCCAGGGGTCGGGGACCCCGACCTACAGGATACAGGGTACGTACGGGGTGCGGCCCACCTGTTTCACCGTGACACTCAAGGCTTTAACCTGATCCCAGCTGCTCTCCTAGCACTGCCGCCTCTGCCTCGGCCGCCTGCCCGCTGCCGTCTGGGCGCTTGAGCCTTGTCGCTTGCCCTCGGTGAGCCCTGCCCTGCAGGGCCCAGCAGCTGCTCCGCGACTGTTCTCTCACCTCTCAAGGGCGGCTCCTGTTTTCATAGCCCTGGATGTTTTTCTTTACAATGAGGCCTGTTTCCCCGCCTCCCTCCCTCCTGGCAGGCCCCTTGACGGCAGAGCTTAGGCTCACCTGAGCGACGTCCCCAGCACAGGGTGGGTCCCGGGGAGGGTAGGAGGCTGCACCCCATCCCTCAGGTGGTACTCTGGGGTGTGGCCGCCGCTCCTTCCCCTGTGTGTGCCGGATGGGGTAGGACGCAGACGTGGGCTGAGGGCGGGTGCTCACCGCGTGTCCTAGAGGGGAAGGGGCGATGAGGTACCCCACTATCCTTCCCATCGTCACCTTCAAGTGCACTTAACCCGAGAGAGAAAACAGCACGCTTAAATGACTTTCTTAAGTTGATTTTAAACGTTACGTAAGGGTCTCTTACTGCTCCTGACTCTTCCCTCAGAGGCCAGCAGTGGTCTCCTTAGTTCCTCATTCAGGTAAATCGAGCGGCCCCAGGTGTGTTCCCTGCCCCCGCCCGCTGCGGGGCCGATGTGGGGGCACCCTGCAGGCTGGGGCAAGTGCCCGTCCGCACTGCTCACCGGGCCGGGGTCAGGGGAGGAGCACGGGGCCCCCGACATCCTGCGAGCCGGTGTGGCAGGCGCTCTGTGCTTGCTGTGCCCTCGGGGACCGGGTCTGACGGCCCCTCCTCCCGCCTGGTTCCCGCAGGCCTGCTCCATCAGGGACCCCAACAGCGGGTACGTGTTCGACCTGAATCCGCTGAACAGCTCCCAAGGCTACGTGGTCTCTGGCATCGGGAAGACGTTCTTGGTAAGAGTTCTCTGATGAGTTCCCGGTTGCTTTGAAGTGAGGACAGAAGTTACCTGCCGCCAGGGACTGGGAGGGCAGGTGTTCTTAGGGTACTGGGATGGCAGCTGTCACCTGGGAGGAGACGAGGGAGTTCAGATTTCAGGGGAAATGAGGTAACGGTGTCACCCCTGTCCCAGCGCCATGTAGACACGAGGGCTTCGCTCTTTAGAACATACGTTAGCCCTGATGTTGCGGCGTCCAGAGCGGCGGAGCTTGTCAGAACACTCTCGGGGGCGCGGCCGGCCGCTGGGTGGAACGAGCCGTGCCCGCAGCACAGTCAGGAGGAAATGGCCGTCTCATTGCCCTATAAAAGGGAAACGAGCTGGATGGCTTGGTTCCAGGACCTTCTGACAGCGCTGCCTTCATGGACAGCCCCGGCAGTGTGTCTGGGGCAGCGAGGTGGAACGTCTCTGCCATTGGGCGTAAAATAAGCGCCGCTAGAAAGGGAGACAACACCTTTGGTTTGTTTAAATTCTTGTAGCAATAGCCATGTTGAAAACAGAAAGTTGGCACGAGAATGTTTTATGAAAATTTGATGCAGAGGGGAACTCCACAGGTGCCCGCCGTGCAGAAAAGCGAGCACACAGCTCGTTCCACGGCCAGGAACGTGCCTGGGCACGCTGCGTGCTCGGCGCCTCCCTGCCACCCCGGCGGCCGCCCCGGAGTTTGGTGTAAGCCACGTGGTTTAGAACGGGGTCACAGTAGGTGAGGGCGCACGTAGCTGCCCATGAGGAGGGTGGGGGCAGACAAAGAACCTGGTCGAACCCCATAGAGAACTGTCTAGATAACATGAATCCCTGTAGAACGTTTTCCTCAGTTGGGGGTCGTCTGTAATAGTGCCAGAGTTTCCTTGGCTGGCATTGTCCGCACACGCTCTGCAGACGCAGGGCTGTCCTTCCTGTCCTCGCATCGAGGATGAGCGCATTACACTCCCATTTCGTAACTACAGCGACTGTAACTGAATTTAGGCAGGATGATACCAGCATCTTTAAGAGGAATAGGGATATCACATTAACTGTTAATTAACATGATTTCAGCTATGTATACTTCCTCTAATACAACTTAAAATACTGTAAAATTACAGCTCACACGTGTCCTCTGTTATATGTAATGTTTCATCATCGGGAATGTATCTTTTTGCGTCGGGAGGCAGGGGGACGTGTACATAAACGCGCACCGAGCCTCAGAGGCAGTTGATGGTCAGGGCCGTTTGGACCAACCGTGGGACTTCCCTGCCCAAACATGGGCGGCTGGAGTGGTGGCCCCGGCTGTTCGGCCCGGGAGGGCCTGGGGTGCAAGGTCTTGTCTGCATGAGCTGGGCTGCCTCTGTTGCTGAGTCACTTCTTGCCGTCTGACCTGCAGTTCAACGTGTGCGGCACGATGTCGGTCTGTGGGACGCTGAAGGGAACGCCAGCTTCCGGCTGCGAGGCGCCCACCCAGCCGGCGGACCTCAAGGACCTGAAGCCGGAGCGGCTGGTTGGGCTCGAGAAGAGCCTCCAGCTGTCCACCGAGGGCCTTATCACTCTCACCTACGAAGGGCTCCACTCGGAAGGCAAAGGTGAGCCCGGAGCCATGTTGTTTTGTCATTGACACGTGCCCTCGCTATGACCGTCACCCTTTCTGAGTGTGATGCAAGTGCCCCTGCAGTGTCTCAGAGTCCTCCCGCCTCTGGGCACGCGTGCAGCCCACGGACGCATCCTTGCGTTCACCCGGGCCCCTCCGACGTAATCCTGTAACTTAGAGAGGTGGCCAGACCATGGACGCCCGCCCGCCCCTTCTCCAGGTGTCCTTCCTCAGTTGTCCCTCTGACGTGGGACAATGGCACCGTCCTTTTATCCTGTTTCAGGTACTGAAGAAGCGGGTGATGATAATAAAGTTACTTTTTTCCCTCCTTTTCTCCCCCTCAATCTTCATTGTACCTTTACATGCAGTTTTGCTGTGTTAAATTTCTTAACATTTTCCCTCTTTTCTGCAACTGCACTGAACAGCAGGAACTTGGTCTGATCAAGTGCAAGATGCGGTCGGAGGCCTGGGAGGGGGCGCCGTGCCCAGGGCTTCTTGTGCCGGGTGCCAGCTGCCAGGTGCACGGTGCTGGTTGGTTCTCACCCAGCCCGGGCCTCTCCTCCTTCAGCAGTGTGCTCGCCCCCTGCCTAGCCACCCTTTGCTTGACAGGTGACAAAGGCCGCGACAGCCCGGTGCCCTAGACAGGGCCGGGAGTCCATTGGTGGCAGTGCCAGGGTTAGGGCCCGAAGGCTCAGGATTCTAATCCTGGCCCTGCCAGTGAACGTGCTTCCCATTTGCAGGTGGGGACACTGGGGCCTGCGGAGGGCAGTGGTTGGCCAGGGCTGTGTGTCCCTAAGCAGCAGGGCTGAGGTTTGAGTCCACACTTGCGTGGCTCCTAATCTAGGCTCTTCCTGCTGCTTGTGGTGAACTCAGGACAGGGAAGTTGGTGTCCGGAGGGGAGCGGGCCATGCGTGGTTCTGCTCCCCGGGACTCGGGACAGTCTGTAGTCAGTGGTTAATTTCATGTGTCATGCCTCAGGCTGATAGATACTGAAAACTCAGCCTATCAGGAAGAGAGCCGCTAGGACAGACGGCTAAAGGATCATTTCATGATTCCTGCGGAGGGTGCTTGGCAATTTGGAAATCTAAGGACAGAAAACATGGGTCTGGGCTGCTGTCAGCTCTTAGAAGGATTGTCCTTTTGAAAAGGAAGTAGGTTTGTTCTTTGTCATTCGTTGGGGGGATTAAGAAGGACTCCAGAGCCGGGTGGAGGAGACCCTTTGCTTTACAGACAGAAAACTCTTGGACTTTCGGTCACCTCGATACCCCAAAAGTCCACAGGCTGTATTCTTTTTTTATAATTCTTCTGCTTTCCAGTTCCAGAGTGCTGTTTTAAAATGAACTAGTTTAGGCGCTTCTGTGTGATTTCTTTCTTTTGTTGTAACTTGGAAAATAATTCCCTGCATCTTACATGGTTGCCGCCTCGGCCGCATGGCTACAGCCGCCGACGTCCGCTCTCTGCTGGGTGTGCCCAGCCCTGGCACTCCGGGGCTGGGCTCATCGGCACGACCCGTGTTGCCTTAGGCTCGTCCCTTGACCTCCCGTGGCTCCAGTCTCCTCTGCAGAGTATCCTGGGAATCCACGTGGTCATGGGGCCCTTCCCTCAGTGTGGTGCGGCCTCCAGTCCCCCACGCCACCACGGCCCCCAGGCTGCCAGAGCCCTCTTGGTGGCGGTCCTGCTTTTGTCCTCGCCTACCCTGCTTCTCGCCACCACACGACAGCCAGAGGGATGTTCCGCGCACTGAGCACACGCACCGGAGCGGAAGGCAGCACCCTCGCCGTGGCGCCAGGCACCTGCTTCTCTCTCCGTGGGGGTCACCCGCCACACTGTCCCCTCGCTCAGTCCTCTGACCTGCTGGTTCCTGCCCACCCTCTCCTCCTGAGCCTTGGTCCTTGCTGTTCCCCTGCCCTCAAAGCTCTTCTCTCAAGATGGTCACATGACGTATTTCTTCACCTTTTTCCAGGATCGGCTCAGATGTCACCTTCTCGGGGAGGCTGGCACTGCCTTTAAAGTTGTCACACGCCATCCCCACCACCCTTGGGGTGTCTTATGCCCGTCCCTGTTTTTTCTTTGCTTATACTTCTCACTTCCTGGCTGTCTCAGGCTGCGTTTAATTTGCTTTCTGTCGGGGCCAGTGGATAGGAGCTTGGACTCTGTCTCTCACTCCTCTGGGTAGTAGGAACTTAGTAAATATTGTTGACTAAACCCATAGAGGAGAGTTACATTGTTAGATTCTGATGTTTTCACTGATAAACAGATGCTGCACTTGCATATTTTCTGGATGGGGCAAAAGTAGGTTTACGGCTGTTTGTATGCAAGGTAACACAATAATAGCACTACAAGAATAAACTCTGTTTCTCGTACTCACAACTGTAACCCTCCTTCTGCCCCACCTGTTTAATAACGCCCGGGCATGAGGTTCCCGGCAAACCCCTGTCTGTACGGATGTCCCGGCGGCAATGAGCGCGGCCGCTCCGGTTCCCGTACGTCCCTTGAAGCACCTGGTGCCGCACGTCATTGTCTCAGGGGTGGCCCTGAGGCTCGTGCCCAGTGGAAGCGTTGTCCTGGGGTTGCGCTGTGGCGGCTGCGGTTTCTCACAGTCTGGCCTTGTTCCCCAGGGACCGGTGATGCTTTCATCATCCGCTTTGTTTGCAATGATGACGTTTACCCAGGAATCCCCAGATTCCTGCATCAGGACATCGACTCTGGCCGGGGGATCCGCAACACGTTCTTTGAGTTTGAGACGGCCCTGGCCTGCGTGCCTTCTCCGGTGGATTGCCAGGTTACGGGTAAGGCCTGGCGGCCGGGCAGAAGTAGGGGCGTGTGCACGTGTCTGGATATTGCATGCACGTTAGTGTGTGTGCATCAGTGTGTGCACATGAGAGTGTGAGTGTGTGTATGTGTTTGTGAAGGTATACATGAGTGCATGGGTGCACATGAGTATGTGCATGGGCACGTATTTGTGCACGAGTGTAGGTATGCTCGAACATCAACGAGTGAGTGTGTGGTGTGTTGCCAGTATTTTACAGGCAGCATGTCACTTGTGTTACACTTTTTCTTTGATGCCTAGATTTGGAATATTTCTCTTGGTGAGAATCTGGGATAATTAATGGTTTAAAGCTGTATTTTGGGATCAGAAGCTGCTTAAGAACAGAGAAGAAAATTTAGGGAAAAAACCAGATACACTTATCAGAGCTTCTTGTTGAGGAAGAAGATACAAAAAGAGGATAAAGCTTCATAAGATGGGCCCAGGATGCCGAACGGTGTCCCCGGGCCCCTCAGCCTCTGGGTTGGGTCCACATGGGTGGCGCATCACTGTGAACAGCAGCTTTGAGGGTCCGGGTGGGTGTGAGTCTTGAGTAAAAGCCTGGGCCTCCTGTGGACCCCCTCATTACTTAGTTACGGGTGTCAGGTTGTTCCACATCTGTCTTGGGGAGGGGGCGGCGGGGAAGGCCTCGCTCCACAGCGGGCAGGCAGTGGTATCCGGGTGTTCCTGTGTGTTTCAGACCCGGCAGGAAACGAGTATGACCTGAGTGGCCTAAGCAAAGTCAGGAAGCCTTGGATCGCTGTGGACACGTCGGTGGATGGGAAGAAGAGGACTTTCTACCTGAGCGTGTGCACTCCCCTCCCGTATATCCCTGGGTGCCACGGTGAGTTTAGAGCACCTGGCTCCCGTCCCATTGGCCTCCCCTCTCATCCCTTCCCGTCCCCCACGGCAAACCAATCCCCGGCTCTTCCAGGCAGTGCAGTGGGGTCCTGTCTGGTGTCAGAAGACAACAGCTGGAACCTGGGCGTGGTGCAGATCAGCCCGCAGGCTGCAGCCAACGGGTCCCTGAGCATCGTCTACGTCAACGGGGACAAGTGCGGGAACCAGCGCTTCTCCACCAGGATAACGCTCGAGTGTGCGCAGACCTCGGTGCGTGTGCGGCGGGTGCGCGTGTCTTGGTGCTGGCGTTTCCGTTCCCGTGTCCACTGACCTCTGAGTCTGCCGGCGGATTTAAAGCGTGCCTGTGTTTTCACGGTTTTGACTGGAATGTGCTGTTTTCCCTCAGGTCTTAGTGTGTGGTTCATGGTTCTGTGTATTTTCCTTGTGGGGGTTAAAAGTTGACTTTAAAAAACTTTTTTTTAAAATAAATGAAAAGGAAGCAAGCTCTTGGTTCTGGTTACAGGGCTCGCCGACGTTTCAGCTTAAGGATGACTGTGAGTACACGTTCGTCTGGAGGACGGTGGAGGCCTGCCCCGTGGTCAGAGCGGAAGGTGAGGCGAGGGCCGGCTCCAAGACGGTGCGGTGGGGGTGCACCGCTGTGCTGTGGGCCGCACGCGGGCTTGGGAGGGGCTCCTCAGTCGATGGCTCGCTTTCTTTTCCTTTTTTTCACTCTCATCTAGGGCATTTTCTTTTCACTTACAGTTGCCATACATATGACACTAGTTTCAGATGTATAGTGTGGTGATTAGATGTGAATGGATGATATTTTACCCCCGAGTTATTTTACTCCACGGCATCACCTGCGTCACCAGGCGTGTCTCCCCCGTGTGCCTGGATTGCCGGGTTATCGGCTTCTCACATTGAACACATCAGTGTGGGGAAGTGTTTTGTTGGATCAAGCAGATCTTCATCCAGGGCCCTAAGCTTTTCTAGAAACCTCTTGGCTGGCAGTTTGTATTTTGTATATACAGAAACAAAGTGAGATAAATGTGGAGATCTGTTTCATGCCTATTTTAAGGTGCCGCTTGTCTGATGAAAAGTGGTGTAACTTTGTCCTGAAAATGTGAGCGCGTGTGTAACTGCGCTCGCCCTTCGCCCGCGTCTGCCCGCAGGAGACAACTGCGAGGTGAGAGACCCGAGGCATGGCCACGTGTATGACCTGAAGCCGCTGGCCGTGAATGACACCGTCGTCAGCGCTGGGGAGTACACCTACTACTTCCGGGTCTGCGGGAAGCTCTCCTCGAACGTCTGCTCGACCAGCGACAAGTCCAAGGTGATCTCGTCGTGCCAGGAAAAGCGGGGGCCGCTGGGATTCCACAAAGTGGCAGGTATCTGGGTTTTCTTCTGCTCTCCTTGCAGAATGTTGGGATTAGGTGTTGAGGATGTTACGTGAGAGTGGACACCTTCCTTGAGCAGGAAAAACGACGGCCGTGTTCTTGTGGAGCAGCTCGTGAACAGCGTGTCTGGCTTCTGGTTGTTTTAGCCAGGATACATGCTAACAGATGTTGTCAGACTTCAGTTTATTTTGTTCTCATTTAGCAAGACCAGTGATGGATTCTAAGATCTTGCTCCTTCTTTATTGCAGCCTTAGGACCCACGGAACTAGCCAGCAAAGGGTGCTCTGAGGTAGCGCTTTCTAGAATTGAGTCAAAGGGGAGGGCATTTAGTAAACAATGTGGCTCAGACTTGGGCAGGCTGTTGGTCATCGTGTCGTCTCAACAGCCAGGCAAGTGATGATACGCAAAAGAACGTTTAAAAAAAAGTCGAAGTAGCCGCCAGCACTGCGGGCAGCCCTCAGGGGCCACGGAGAAGGAGTGACATGCCCTTCGCTGGTCAGGCCGAGGAAGGTCTGTGTATTGCCCGTCCTGCAGTTCGTCGGGGATGCCGCCACTCTGGGTGACAGAAGCCTGGATTTGCTCTTCCTGCTGTGACGTGGCAGGGAGCAGGGGACGCAGGGCCGGTGGGCCAGGCGTACTTGGTGGTCTGTTTACTTAGGGTGCGTGAGGCACGCTAAGTGTGGCGACCTGGGGACTTCCTGAGCCGCTCCTTGTTTAACCGGCCGCTTCTTGGACAGGTCTCCTCACTCAGAAGCTGACTTATGAGAATGGGCTGTTGAAAATGAACTACAGTGGAGGAGACACCTGCCATAAGGTGTACCAGCGCTCGACAACCATTTTTTTCTACTGCGACCGCAGCACCCAGAAGGTGAGCCAGAGCCCGGGCGTCTCCGCCCGCTGCTCCTGTCGTCACACAGCGAGTGTGCGCTCGTCACTGCTCTTGCTGACTTCACTGAAGTATGTTAGTTACAGGGACTGTGTTGAGACCCCGATCTGTTTGTGTAGGTTTCAGTGAACATAATCATCCCTTAGTGTTTTCACCCTGAAAACTCACAGTGTAAACTGAAGGAGTTCCCCATTCCTTACCCTCCCCAGCCCGTGTTCCTCAAGGAGACGTCCGACTGCTCCTACTTGTTCGAGTGGCGAACGCAGTACGCCTGCCCACCTTTCGACCTGACCGAATGCTCTTTCAAGTAAGTCGGTGCCCACGTTCGTGCTTCTGGATAGCCGAAAACTCAGTAGGATTTGGCTTGAATGGTTAGTGGTCTGGAGTCCGGGATTGGACCCGCCTGACGATTTCTCCCCGCCGTAGTTGCCTAACAGGAAAACAAGCGGTTGGATTAGGTTAACCTCCAAATCCTTCACCACTGAGTCGGTGGTGGTTTTGCATTAAAATTCATGGGATGTGACTGCAGTCAGAACAGAAAACCTCGCGTGGTTCACAGTTGGATGCGGAGCCAAGTGACCAGGACGTGACCGGGCCTCTGCTCACACCTCGGGCACGGCTGGTCTGGGGGCGCGATGATCAGGCCGGCTCCCTCCGCCTCCCCTCCCTGTCCCCGCTTCTATGAACAGTTGGCAGGGTTTGGAATGTTCGTATTGCGTTTGGTAACTCTGGTGGTCTGTCTTCTTTATTTGTAGGGTGGTTCTAGGAATGAAAAGCTAATAAACAGCATTTGTTGCAAAATCACACGGTGTGGCTGGATGTGCAGAGAAATGGCATCGTCCTGTGCCCTGACCTGCTCCTCCGGGAGGAAGCAGGCTGTGGGGGTCAAAAGATTGCCTTCCTTTTGTTTCCTAAGTTCCAAAGAATTGGGCCGCCTTCGAGATGGCCTTGTGTTTGGAACATGGCTCCCGCGGTAGCTTTTAATCTGGGCACTTGGTGGTGTCTTTCCCTTTTGTTGTTGACAGATCTTCCAGTTCGCTGATTCTCTCATCAGCTGATTTTAATTTGCTGTTTTGGCTCTTTTTTGCCTTTTAAAAATCTTCATGGCTTTTTTTATTCTGAGTTCTGCTGGGTACTCTTTTCTAATTCACCATTTCTTCCCTCCACCCCAACCCCCATAGTGTCATATTCTTTTATTACAAATAAGTTTCCATTTCTTCTTTTAGGCCTTAACCATTTTAAGCACATCACTGCCGGCTGCTCCCTTACCTGAAGCCCTCAAGGGTCCGATTCTGCCAACCCCCGCGTCTCCCGCAGGCGGCCTGTCAGTTAATGCCAGCTCACCCTTCGCTTCTTTCCCTCTCACGTCGCGTTTATGGTCCGTCAGCCTTCAAAGTATCTGCAGTTCTCTGTTCCGGAAATAGTGCCCTGCCCCCGTGCAGGCTGTTTTCACCTCGTGCCTGCGTCGCCGTGGTCACCTCTGAGTGGGTCCCCTGCTTCCCACTGCCACCCCTGCGCCGTGTCCAGTGCAGCGATGAGCCTGCTTCTGTTAAAGGGGACGTCAGCCAGGCCACTCTTTCGCTGAAACCCTTCCAGGCAGCGACTTTCCTGTCTTGTTTGGAGCTGGGAGCTGCAGCTGTGACCGTGAGCCAGGAAACCGGTGTGCAGTTGCCCTGTGTTACCGCTCACCCCACCCTGGCGTGGACCCCAACGCGTGCTCTGCGCCCGCCGCCCAGGGCTCCTGGCTGTTCTCGGCTGCACTGGGCTCGCAGGGCCCTTGGCTCCCGCTGCTCCGGCCGCCTGGGGTCCTCTTCTGGGCCCCCGAAAGGCTGGCTGTTCTTGTCCTTCCCCTCCCCTGACCGCTCGCTGCTCTCTCCCCGCCTCCCCGCACCTGACGTCCCCCTTCCCTGCCTTTTTCCGCCCCAGCGCTGCCTGACATCTGATACACCTACCAAAGTTTGTCCTGCTTACGGTCTTTTTCTTCCACTGTAATTTCTTTAAACTCGTGAAGGTTTTTACTCGTTCCGTTTCCTACGATACCTCCATCTTAGTACTTTGTATTTTTTGAATGAACAAACGAATGCTTTTTTTAGTCTCCTGTGACGTGCTCGGACCTCAGGAAGGGGTGTCTGCTATTGTCCTCCGGCGTCGCCTGGACATGTCCCTCTGTGCGGACCGAGGGCTGCTGGTCTTGCTCGCTGGCTCGCTGCTCCTGGGCTCGGGGTGGCTCTCAGTAACAGTCCGCAGTCGGGACTCATGTGGCAGGAAAACCGTTAGCTGAGTAGGAGGGGCAACGCCAGCCCGTTTTAAGTGACAGTGGGTGGCCACCGGTTTCGATGGCAGGTGGTCGGTGCTGGGGGCACCCGGCATCTGAGCCGCCCCCTCGGTCCTCTCACTGGCCTGAGCAGTTACTTTCAGGCCTGACATTCGGTGTTTTTGCCTAATATATCATTTTGTTGAACTAAGTATCTTTGTCTTGTTTATTGGCTATATTGGAGTGGCACTGGTTAATAATGACGCAGATTTCAGGTGCACAGTTCTACAGCGTGTCATCTGCACCCTGTGTTGTGTGCTCACCACCCACGTCAGGTCTCTGTCTGTCCCCCTTTATCCCCTCTTCACCCGCCTCCAACTCCCCAACCTCCTGAACAGTCTAGAAGCTGCGGGCGCTTGGGTCGTCACTGGTGCTGACCGCGGGGAGTGCGGGGGCGGGCGGTCCCGTCTGACGTGCCGCCCCGGGGAAGGCCCAGTTCCCAGGGTGCCCGGGGGGGCTGCGCCCGCACCCTGAGCCCTGGCAGGCAGCGCGCAGGTGCTCAGGCCGGGGGCCACAGGGCCTGACCACAGCGTTCTCCTCCCTGCAGGGACGCGGCCGGCAACAGTTACGACCTCTCATCCCTGTCACGGTACAGCGACAACTGGGAGGCAGTCACCAGCACAGGGGCCACCGAGCACTACCTCATCAACGTGTGCAAGTCTCTGGCCCCGCAGCCGGGCTCGGGTGAGAGGGCCCTCGGTGGGCGGGCAGGCGGGCGGCTTGGGGTCGGTTTACGGGGAAGTCAGCAGACGTGGGCTTCTTCAGGGCGTGTTCCTCTCTGGCGCGGGAGGAGTTTGGCCGAGAAGTGGCAGGACTCCTTTCAGGGTCTTACCGACTGACCCCTGGGGGCGTCCAGGATAAATCTGTACCAGTGGCTGCTGGGAAAATTTGACCTTTTTCCAATGTGAGGAAGTGGAGGTGGAGGCAGGTAGAATTAATCAGAGTGGCAGGTGATCCTTCTCAGCAGGACAGGAGCTAGGAGGACGTGACAGGCAGACAGGCGTGGGCCTGCTGTATTTACTCAGAGCGACACTGGTGGGTGACCCTTTAACAATGGCCAGAGCAGCAGCGCCCAAACCTTAGTGCCCATGGCGAGGACGGAGGCCAGTTGCACACGTGGACGAGGCGCCACCTGCAGGGACCGCGGTGCCGCCTGCAGCCTCTTGAATCCTGAAGACAAAACTTGTCCCATGTCCTTGGGATTTGCAGCCCCAACCCCACCTTGTGTGGCTCAGCTCCCGGGGGCTCTGCCTTCACCTGCAGAGAGTGGTTTCCATCCTCCGTGTGGTTTGAGGCCATGGGCCCCTTTCCTTGCTCTGAGCTGGGCAGATCAGGGACACTGGCGTCTTAGTCCATGAAGCAAGACTAGTTCTTTCCCCAGGGCAGATGGCAGAGATGTTTTGGGGACTGGGAAAGCGACAGGGTTCTTGGGGCCTTCTCGGTTAAAGACAGCACGTGAATGTAGGACATTTAAAATGTCTCTGTGGCTTCATAAAAGTGTCTTAGTTTATTGCTTCTGGGTTCCGGCTGTTAGGCCTTGGGTTCCCCCCATCCCCTGCCTTTCCCAGTCCGTCTCTGGTCACAGAGCATTAAATGCGTGAGAACTGGTGGTGTCCTTGTCATCTGATGTATGTAAAAGAAGATTATTTTAGAGGGACTGTTAGAATCCAGTGCGTAGCGTGTCTGATGTCACTTGCCAGGTGAAGTTAAGTTGTAGACTGGAAAGCAGCCGAAGGCAACTCACGCGTCTCGTGTTGCAGAGCCGTGCCCCCCGGAAGCGGCCGCGTGTCTGCTGGATGGCTCGAAGCCCGTGAACCTGGGCAGGGTGCGGGATGGGCCTCAGTGGACAGAGGGCGTCACTGTGCTGAAGTATGTCGACGGCGACGTGTGTCCGGACCAGATTAGGAAGAAGTCAACCACCATCCGCTTCACCTGCAGCGAGAGCCAAGTCGTAAGTGGGCACAGCAGCCTCAGCCCTGGGGCCGCAGCTCTGGGACAGTTGGAATCGGAGGGTCAGTGAGGCCGATCTCTTCCCTTGGGATGTGAGGCCAGGGGTCAGGTGCCTCGGTGTGTCAGTGGGTGAGAGGGCAGTGTCGTGTCGGCCCCGTGGTCCTGGGCCCCTTACTTCCCCGGGTCCAACATGCCAGGCCTGGCACTTCCATTGAAACCTCAGAGTTCAGTGGTTCTGGTTCAGGTTTGACCCAGATCCCCAAAGACTATGCAGAAAACCGGTACCTGACAGTGCGTCCTTGGTCCTCACGGAGGCCTCCGGATTCCTTCCTCAGCCACACTGAGCTGGTCCCTGTCAGCGATGCGAGCCCTGTCTCTCTTGCCCAGTTGGTGTGACGGTCAGAGAGGAGCGGTGTTGAGCGTCAGGCACTGTGCCCATGTGGTCGGTGCGCGGTGACCGGGCCGGCCCTTTCTCGGGCCCTGACTGTACGTGACCCATCCAGGGTGGCCGGCCTGGGCAGCTCAGCAGCTGATGGTCTCTCAGGACTGTTGTGCACCTGGTGGCATCTCTGTGCGGGGGAGTGAGGTGGCCCCGGGTGCTCTGTGTGAGAGGACGGCTGCAGCTCGTTTGGGAATGAGGTCGGGCTGGGCCAGCCCGCGCTGTGTCAGGACCGACTGCCCGCTCGGGCCAGCTGCGTGTGGCCAGTGGTGGTGGGCGGAGCGGAGCGGGCGTGCTGGGGGCTGGGGCCGGCTCTGTGGACCGGAGAGGCAGACGGTGCAGAGGCTTGGCCGGGACTGGTGAGCGCCCGGGGTCTGGGAGACCTTCCCCTCTGTCCCGGAGCCCAGGGGCTCCTGGCAGAGGAGGAAGGAGCTGGCCGACCCGTGGAGGGGCCGTGAGGGCAGGACATGAGTGGCTCTGCATGTGGCTGCCAGAGGCTGGGCCGGTGTGGCCTTCCCCAGAGGGTGTGACCGCCGAGCGGACCTGAGCCACCTGTGGCGGACGAGAAGCACCGGAGGTGACAGAGAGGGTCTCTGCCGGTGCGGTGGGAGGACTCGGAGGACTGATGGCAGGCTTTCGTGTTTTCTCCTTAACAGCAGGTTTCAGTTCATCCGTTTTTCAGAATGTTACCACTTGCTTGCTCATCTGTGACTCACCATAGCCCTTTGAGCATCTTTTCCACTCTGTCCCCAGCCTCTGTCCGCTGAGTTAGCTCTAGGAGTGGCAGGAGGACTCCTTTCAGGGTCTTATTGATCGACCCCTGGTGGGGTCCAGGATACATCCATGCCGATGGCTCTGCTGGGAACGTTTTAACGTTTCCAACATGAGGAGGTGGAGGTAGGTAGAAATAATCAGAGTGGCAGGTGATCCTTCTCAGCAGGACAGGAGCTAGGAGGACGTGACAGGCAGACAGGCGTGGGCCTGCTGTATTTACTCAGAGCGACACTGGTGGGTGACCCTTTAACAATGGCCAGAGCAGCAGCGCCCCAAACCTTAGTGCCCATGGCGAGGACGGAGGCCAGTTGCACACGTGGACGAGGCGCCACCTGCAGGGACCGCGGTGCCGCCTGCAGCCTCTTGAATCCTGAAGACAAAACTTGTCCCATGTCCTTGGGGTTTGCAGCCCCAACCCCACCTTGTGTGGCTCAGCTCCCGGGGGCTCTGCCTTCACCTGCAGAGAGTGGTTTCCATCCTCCGTGTGGTTTGAGGCCATGGGCCCCTTTCCTTGCTCTGAGCTGGGCAGATCAGGGACACTGGCGTCTTAGTCCATGAAGCAAGACTAGTTCTTTCCCCAGGGCAGATGGCAGAGATGTTTTGGGGACTGGGGATGAACCCTGCGGCAGGGTTCTTGGGGCCTTCCTGGTCCCCCAAGCGGAGTTGTGGCTCTGGGTGTATCTCAGCCACCCTGTGTGTGTGAAGCTCCTGGTGGTATCTCAGGAGCAAGTCCTGGTCCCGTGCTTTTCCCAAATCTGCCTCCTTTCTGAGATGTTGGGACAAAAGTCTCGTCCGCTGGGTGTGCCAGCCCCGCCCGAGGCAGGGTGCAGGTTGTGAACACCCCACTCGGGCCGTCAGCTCCCCGCGTCTTTTGCTGCAGAACTCCCGGCCCATGCTCATCAGCGTGGTGGAGGACTGCGAGTACACCTTCGCCTGGCCCACTGCAGCCGCCTGTCCTGTGAGGAGCAGCGTGCACGGGGACTGCCAAGTCACCAACCCTGCCACAGGTGAGACGCCGCCAGCCACCAGCCCCACGCAGTGGGGGACCCTGCCAGCCCCCAGCCCCGCACAGGGAGGGCCCTGGGCAGCAGGGCCCCGTGGCAGCAGCCTCGGCCTGTACGTGCATCCGGCCTGTTCTCTGGGACCGGTCCCGTCCTGGGCCTCCTCACGCTCCCCGGAGAGGAGACCACGGTCCCCCTGCCAGTGTGCCCCCTGGCACACCTGGCTCCGTGGGTGCCATCACACGAGCTCTCAGCTTGCAGAGGTGGTTACAGGCAGCCTTCCTGGTATCTGCTAGGTTAATCTGGGATGTGTCACGGAGTCTCTGTGCTGGGAAGTGGGCAGTGCAGGTGACGGAGCAGCCATGGGGCCCCCTGTGTCACCCGGGAGTCCCAGTGGCCGCAGGGGTCTGGCTCCGGAGCGGGAGGGCACAGTGAGCCGCTGCCGTCTGGGGAAGGATGGGCCGTGGCACAAGCTGGGGCTCTGGCGGCCGTGTGGTGCAGGCTGCCGGTCAGGAGCAGTCGAGGGCTGTGTCCGTGAGGGGCAGGGTTTCTTGGTGAGAAGTCAGAGATCCCAACGGCCGGTGTGCTCCGTGGGCGAGAGCGCTGGTGATGGGTCCCCTGCATCTCAGCCCCGTGGAGTCACTGTATCCCGTCCCCTTGCAGGACACCTGTTTGATCTGAACTCTCTGAGTGGCAGAGCTGGACACACGGCTGCTTACAGCGAGAAGGGGCTTGTCTACATCAGCATCTGTGGGGAGAACGAGAACTGCCCGCCTGGCGTGGGTGAGTGTGTGGCTTCCTGCCGGCCATCTGTCCCCCGTCCCTGGGGCCATCTCTGCGTCCCCGCAGCCATGGCGTCAGCAAGCAGCTGAGGTCGCACGCCGTCCTCTCCTGCGTTGGGCAGCTCATGTGGGCGGATACATGGCCACGGGATGGAATAGGAGACATGTAACGTTTGCTGAGACCACCTTGGACACTCAGAATTGTGGGCGTCAGCTGTGAATTTGAAAGTCTGGGTTTGCAGGAAGTTCTCAGAAAGTCAGTCGTTGGAATCGCTGTGTGTGTTTCCTCCTCCCGCCACCTCCCGGTGCAGGCGCCTGCTTCGGGCAGACCAGGATCAGTGTGGGCAGGGCGAGCAAGAGGCTCACCTACATGGACCAGGTCTTGCAGCTGGTGTACGAGGACGGGTCTCTTTGTCCTTCGAAGTCTGGCCTGAGGTACAAGAGTGTCATCAGCTTCGTGTGCAGGCCCGAGGCCGGGCCCACCAACAGGCCCATGCTCATCTCCCTGGACAAGCAGACGTGCACGCTCTTCTTCTCCTGGCACACGCCTCTGGCCTGCGAGCAGGTGGTGAGTTGGGGGCTGGGGCCGGGGGGCGTCTGAGGCGTGCGTGGGTGCCCCCGGAGCCCAGGTGCACCCGGCTGTCATCTCCGGGGCACGAAGGCCACTCGGCCCCTGCAGACGCCCGGGCGTCTCACCCACCTCCGATGGTCCAGGTGACCGTCGGGGACAGGAGTCTGCCCTTCATGCTTTTTGTTGCTGCTGCTCAGCTTTTAAATTCTCGTGGGCGACTGCACAGTGGCCAGACACGTCTCACTGCCGACTCCAGTGAGGTGTCCCCTCTCTCACAGGCGGAGTGCTCCGTGAAGAACGGGAGCACCATCATCGACTTGTCTCCCCTCATCCACCGCACTGGGGGCTACGAGGCGTACGACGAGAGTGAGGACGATTCCACCGACACCAGCCCGGACTTCTACATCAACATCTGCCAGCCGCTGAATCCCATGCACGGGGTGCCTTGTCCCGCTGGGGCCGCTGTGTGCAAGGTGCCCGTGGATGGACCCCCCATAGTAAGTGTGGGGCATCCAAAGCTGGAAGCTGTTTTTGCAAGATTTTTTTTTAAGGTTTTATTTGTATTTAGAGAGATGGAAAAGGAGGGAGAGAAATATCATTGTGTGGTTGCCTCTCAAGCGCCCCCTGGTGGGGGACCTGGTGGCCCACAACCCAGGCATGTGCCCTGACTGGGAATTGAACAGGTGACCCTTTGCTGTGCTGTCCAGCGCTCAGGCCTCTGAGCCACACAGGCCGGGGCAGATTTTTAACCGTACACCTGCATGCTGTGTTTTGTGCTTTCACTGGAGAGTTACTCGGGCAGAACGAGTGGAGAAGGGACCCGGGACTATGGTGCTCTGAGAGGCCACAGGGAAGAGTGATGGACGCTGTCAGCTGACTGGGGCAGCCCAAGGGGGTGTGTGCTGTGGAAGGACAGGTGAACACACGTGTGTCGTGTTAGGCCCAGGGTTGGCCCCGAGGGAGAGATTTTTATGTGAAGTACAAGAAAGAACATTGGCCGAGCCCGGTTTCTGTGAAGTGCACATCTCGCATCATTAACATGCTTGTGATGTGCGTGATAATGCTAACATGCTTAGTGAACGAGTGATAATGAAGGACCAAAGCGGCTTTGCTAATAGCTAAATCTTCAGCCTTGAAAGCTTTGGTTTTTATACTAGCGTTTATCAGTGCAGATTTGGGTCTTCAAAACTTGTTTTCATGAGTTACATGCACGTTTTGTCAAATCCCTGGCAGGTTTTGTTATTTGAAATGCATCTCAAAAGTGGTGTATTTTGTGAGCTCTGTCCTGAGGTAGCTGGATGTCCTTTTAAAAGGTGGGCACTGACTGTGGCTTCGTCAGGCGCAGGCAGGGAAACGGGCCGCGAGGTGGCTAACGAGCTGCGTCCGCGTGGGCGAGCCAGGGCGTGGTGGGCGCCCTTCCGAGCCCACCTGCGCGGCAGCGCTGCGGGTTGGGGCCCTGATGGGCTTCGCCTTCGGAACGGCTCGCTCTTCTGTATTTCGTTGCCTGGCTCCCCTTTTTCAGGTTCTAAAAAGTAGTAAATCCTCTCATTGGAGCGGGTGTTGCAGTGCTGCGGCCTGAGCGCGCCCTGGCGAGTGTTCCAGCTTCGTTCTCACACGCACTCGTCGCGCGCACGTGTGCCAGCCCCGGCCGTTCGCCTGTCTGTCCGCCGTGTGCCCATTTCCCCTGAGACATGGGCCGAGCGGTGAACAGTGGCGGAGAGCAAGGCCTCGCGCCCCTGGAGGCCGGGCCAGGCACCCCACCCCCCACCCCGCTGAGTGAGCAGGCAGTGCTGGTGGGACGGTTGGCGTGGGGTGCACGCGGGCGCCCTGCCTGCCGCTCTCGGGCCCCAGAGGACGCACAGCGTTCTCGGTTGACTGGAGAGAGAAGGGCCAGGAGCCTGGAGCCTGTGAAATTTCTGTGGGTAGAGAGAGAGCCATTATTACTAACTGTTGGATTAAAACTGATAACCCCCGAAGCACTGAATTTTCTCTGTCTGAACGTCAGGACTTGCCAAGTGAGTTGCTATTAAACCAGTTTCCTTCGGTGCTGCTCATTTGTGAGACAGATGAGGTGTAATTTTTGCAATTGTGTATTAACCTGGGGAATAGTGAACATCCTGAAATAGCGTATACATTTTCCTTTGTCTAGGATATTGGCCGGGTCGCAGGACCACCAATCCTCAACCCTGTGGCTAATGAAGTTTACTTGAATTTTGAAAGCAGCACCCCTTGCCTAGCGGACAGGCACTTCAACTACACCTCGCTGATCGCCTTCCATTGCAAGAGGGGCGTGAGCATGGTAAGTGTGCGGCGTGTACTGGTCGCCTTCTGCTGCGGGGGCTTGAGCAGGGTGAGCATGTGGCACGTTTCCGGCTGGAAGCTGAGGCGTGTGTGAACAAGCCTGAGCTGGAGCCCACGGAGCCGTCTCAGAGCCGAGGACGCCCCTCACCGTGTCCCCCGCTGAGGAGGGCGCGCGGACTCTGCCCAGCAGACTGCGCTCTGGGTTGTCATGGACGGGGGGAAATAAAGTAAGCCGTCTCAGACGCTGCTCTGTCTGCCAGGAGAGGGGCTGGCACTTCATTCTAGTGGGGAAGGCCCCGAGCCTCTGTGTCCAGTGGCTTTTATTGAAAGGGTTATCAGTGGGGCCAGGTAGTAGGACTGGACAGGTCATCTCATTACAGCAGGGTGTTAATATTTACAGAGAAGAGCTGATGTTGAGGAAAACAAATGGCAGGAACATACCGGTTTACATGGGTCCCAGAGGAGATAAAGTAAACATAAGAGCGCCAAAGGGTTTAGGGTCAGGATCTGTGAACGATGTAAATCTCCTTCCCAGCATGAGCTTGTTATCATAGCTTTTGAGGGGAAAACCAAGCATGCTTCAAAGAATTTACCTCTAGGCCCGATTTCCTCCGGGAACCGCCTGAGCCAGGCGGGCGATCAAAGCTGCCAAGAGATAAGGGGGCTTCTTTCAGATAGAATGAGGACTCTCGCCGTATCAAAGCCGAGGGGTGAGGGTTTTTTGCCCTTTCTCCGTGTCCCCCAAGTTCTTCCCTGATGCCCATGCGGCTGTGCCTGTCTTAGGTTGCCCCTGCCATCAAGGGTTTTTACCCGTCTTCAACTACCCAGCCATCCTCCGGGGCCAAGCAGGGCGATGTGAGGGAGGCGGGGGCTGCGCCCCTGCCAGGGGGACAGGTTTTGTCTCCTCAGTGGCCTGTTTTCCCAAGGCCTCCTTACTTATTAGCTCCAGCCTTCTCGCCTGTCGGTGGGGCTAAAGTTCCTGAAACCAGATGGGACGTTTCCCAACACCCCGCGGAGCACACGGGCCATCTGTCGTGCATGGGAACAATGTAGTGAATGAACTCAGCAGTGAGCAAGCCCGCCCTGGGTTAACAGGGCGGGTTTTGCATGCAGCGGTGACTAAATTTAAAGACACGAACAGCCTGGGTATAGGACTGGCATTTAGCTTGGCCTCCCAATGTATACAGTGGTCATAACTTTTTCTTTTTTTCAACCAAAACATTGGTGATTGATTCTTACTGGGAAACTTGACAGCCTTTCAGCAGCTAAAGTCCCCTCAAATTCAGAGGTTGGCAAACAAAAGGAGACCTGGAATCAAAACAGGTCCAACAAAGCCGTTCGTTTGACCTCTAAGGAGGCTGCTGATTTCTGTTCTACATGCAATTTAAAAAATATCTTGTTACAGAGCCTTTGCATATGTTTTCTCTTGACCCCCTCTGCGACTGAGAGACACATCAGGGGGCCACGGCCCCCACTTCTCGTGACTCGGGACAGCTGGAGTCGGGGGGAGCCGCACGGCCCTGCGGAGGCAGCCGGTCCCCGCCCGCTGCTGTGGGCCAAGGGCTCGGCCCTGGGTGCTGGCTCCTCACCCGCTTAGCTGAGCTCCTGCCGCCCTGAGGCCCAGGGCAGAGCCAGTCCTCGGCAGGAATGGGCTGCGGCTGCCTGTGGACACGTGTGTCCAGCCCAACGTGACCATGCATCATGCTGCAGGGACGCTAACGGGCTTGGTGATGGGACCCTGTGTGTGTGATGTAATTAGACACGCACAGGGGTGGCCAAAAAAGTAGGTTTACAGTTCTGAGTACACAGAACAGTTTATTCCTATGTTACTTATTAGTTATCGTATTTCCCACACAAACAACCGTAAGCCCCTTCCTGCTCGCCCTGGTAGAGCCCAGCTGCCTCGTCCTAGGAGGCCAGGGGGTGGGCTCCAGTTCCCCGACGTGTTCCGCCCCGTCAGTGAGGCGACATCCAATCCCTGGGCCGACAGCAGGCTTGTGAGGGAGAGGGCTGCCTGGTCTGGTGCTGGTGGTGGCAGGAAGGGGCCCGGCAGCCGCTGAGAGGGGAGGAGCAGGCCTCCCTGCGGACAGGCCGAGAGGACCTCAGAGCTGAGGGGCGCGCCGCGCGTGCCAGGGCTGGGGGCGGCGGCGGCGGCGGTGCTGTGCAGGCATGGGTGCCATGCGCGGCCAGCCCCCGTTGGCTCTTCCTGCGCGGGGTGTGGGAGGTCCCCGAGGAGCGCCGGGCCATCCCACCCGGAGAGAGACTGAGGGGTGCACATGGCACTTCAAGAGGGAGCGGGCTCTCACACTGAGTGTTTATTCCAGCTTTGGAAAGATTCAAAAGCCGCTTTCTTGCCCTGTGGTTTTTATCTTTAGTGGCAATAACGTCTTGCACTTGAGTTTCTAGAAAAAAAGATTCTGAGCAGTAATGAAAAATAAAACTCCCAGCCAGTCTCCTCGCCTGGCTCTGTGTCTGCGGCCGAGCAGAAGTAGAGGCACGGGCTCGAGCGCCTTGGCCTGTGCGCCGGCTGGCGTGGGGCCTCGCCTTTGGCGCAAATGCCCTCAGGGTCTGGAAGTGGCGCCGAGGGTGCTGCTTGTGAGTGTGTCAGTGTGCTTGCCCCTCCTTCGCAACAGCGGGGGTGCAGTTCCACAGGCTTCTCTGTCACGGTATTTAAAGATCGCTGCCTTTCTTCAGCAGGTCACCCAGACACCTGGTGGCCTGCGGCTGCGGCCAGGTCCCCTCTCCTGGGAGCAGGAAGGGCCTAGCCCCGCCAGGCATGTCCCTGCCACTCGCAGGGCTGGTGGGCGGGCCGGGGGGCGTGCATGACCCATGGGGGTCGCCACGGCCTGCTCGTCTCCCACACAGGGGACGCCCGAGCTGCTCAGGACCAGCGACTGTGACTTCGTGTTTGAGTGGGCGACCCCGCTCGTCTGCCCAGACGAGGTGAAGACCGACGGCTGCTCCCTGATGGACGAGCAGCTGTACTACAGCTTCAACCTGTCCAGCCTTTCCAAGAGCACCTTCAAGGTAACCCCGCCACCTGGGCCGGGGCCTCGGGGGCGGGAGCACGCAGCAGCCTCGGCTCCTTCTCGTGTGCACTGTGTTTTAGCCAGCGTGACGTCTGGGACCACCGAAGGCCGCGTGGCCACCGAGGCAGTGCGTGGAGGGGGGCGGTCTTCCGACGGGGTCAGCCTGGCGGGGCGCTGGGGTGTGCGGCTAACCTGCCACAGCTGACAGTGGAGGTGCGCCTCCTGGTTCGGGGTTTTCCAGTAGGCGTGTGTGAGGGTTACGTGACCCTGCGGGGTGGCCTGGGGGCCTTCTCATGGCGGGGAGGACCAGGAGGCGGCTCGCGGTGCACCATGACCGTGCCCCCAGGGGAGGGCAGGCCGGGCCGTGTGTATGCGCCCCCAGGAGGGGCAGGGGAGGAGCAGGCCGGGCCTGGGGTGCAGGGAGCGGGCGGGAAGGCGGGGGCTGGGGCGAGCCCTGACCCCCAGTGCAGGCACCGCCCTGCTTCCCGCACACGCCGCCCCCTCTGCCGTGGCGACGCTCCCCCTAGAGGGAGAGACCCCCTCACAGTTGCATGCGGTGTCACCCTTCCAGGTGACTCGAGACTCACGCACCTACAGCGTGGGGGTGTGCACGGCGGCGGCAGGCCTGGACGAGGGGGGCTGTAAGGACGGAGGCGTCTGTCTGCTCTCCGGGAGCAAGGGGGTGTCTTTCGGACGGCTGGCGTCTATGAGACTGGATTATAGGCACCAGGATGAAGCCGTCATTTTAAGTTACGCCAATGGAGACAGCTGCCCTCCAGGTAACGCTCCGCAGCGGGTACGCTGACGGTCCTTGTAAACGTGGCGTGCGACCAGCAGCCGGGGAGAGCTGGGGAGCGAAGCTGCAGGTCCCCCCAGTGCCGAGACCGTGGCCTGGACCACGGACGTTACATCCTGACAGCCCGCGGAGCGTGTGCTCAGGCCTTGAGACTCGTACTGGGCTGTGAACCGCTTGTCGCCAGTGGCGGGGAGGGAGGCCTGCTGGTCCTCAAGGTGCTCTGGGGACCCCTTTGGTAGGAGATCCTCAACGAGCAGCCCTAGGTCGCCGGTTGCCCCACCGGCCAATGTCGCGCGGGCAGTCAGGGCCACGCCAACCTTCTCTTTCCAGAAACGGAGGAAGGCGACCCCTGTGTGTTCCCCTTCACCTTCAAGGGAAAGAGCTACGACCAGTGTGTCCTGGAGAACAGGGTGAGGCTCTGGTGCGCCACCACTGCCAACTACGACCGGGACCACGAGTGGGGCTTTTGCAGACAGTGTAAGTAGCAGGCTCTGCGTCCGGGCGCGGCCGCGGCCGCTGCAGCGGGCGGCACGCCCTCGGGGCGCACCTCACGGGGCGCTTAGACCTCTGTGGCTCTGCGAGTTAATGGCGGCACCTTGGTGGTGCACAACTTTTTTCTGTGTCCGGGCTGTTTTTCATAAAGAAAGGACATTTTTAATTCGTTTGTGGGATGTGTTGCGTAGCCACATATGCTGACCACAGCAGGGTGGACAGGCATGTGCTGGGCGGTCAGCAGGGCATGCTCAGTAGCTGAGAGACGTGTGTCCCTGCCAGTTTTCAACTGTGGCGATAGAGATTCCTGCCTCAGCAAAATGAGCGCTCGGCACAGGCCTGCCGGGTGGCGAGCAAACGGTCGGGAACGGCGGTGGGCTCCTCCGCGGCGGGCCCGGGCGGGGGGCTGGGGCTCACGGTGAGCCTGCCTGTGCCCCCGTGGTGCTCACACACCAGCGACATGAGAGAACCCTACAGTGTGTCCCTACAAGCTGATGTGACCTCCCAAGGAAAGCAAGAGGAGATAAATGCGTTAAAAAGAGTTTAGTTCTTGTACAAGTTCAGGGAACAGAATGACTCACAGTAAGGAGTTATAAATGTTACATTTGCTCTAGTTTTGTTTTGAAGCTTATTGTGAAAGTGCTTCTTTCCTCGTCTGTTGGATGACATTCCAACATTTCCAGGTCATTGCGAGGATCTTATTGTTACTTGGCTTTTTATTTTTAACCTTTGGTGCATTACTCAAGTTTAAACACTTGTCTTTGGGGAATTGTGCTGGTGCCGTGGGGTGATAGGAAACCCAGTAGGAGACATCGGGTCTATTTAGGGATAAGACGCATGGGCAGGAAACGAAGGGGTCTGGCTGGGGCAGGAGGGGTGGCCGGGGAGGAGCTTGCGGACAGCACGGGACACAGGCTGTGTGTGGTCTGACGGCCTCCCTGCCGCCCCCAGCAAACAGCCACCGCATGTCGGCCATCATCTTCAAGTGCGACGAGGACGCTGACATCGGCAGGCCCCAGGTCTTCAGTGAGACGCGCGGGTGTGAGGTGACATTCGAGTGGAAGACGAAAGTGGTCTGCCCCCCGAAGAAGATGGAGTGCAAGTTCGTCCAGAAGCACAGGACCTACGACTTGCGGCTGCTGTCCTCTCTCACCGGGTCCTGGTTCTTTGTCCACCAAGGAGCCTCGTGAGTACCTCCGCCGCTCGCCAGCTGCGTCCTACGCTCCGGAAGCGGAGCCTGACGTGCGTGCAGTCGGGGGGGCCCCAGAGGGCCGCCTCCAGGTGCTCAGGCGGGGCTGCCTGGTAAACCGGAAGCCTGCACAGCCTGGGGGCCGCTGTGCTCCTGGGAGCAGCCCAGGGGGTCCGGGTGGGAGGTCAGAGGCAGAGGTGCGCAGGGCCCTGAGGCGCCTGTGGTCGGTGGTGGCCTGGCCCTGTTAGGCTCGATTTGGTCTGTGTGGGTGGGGGTGGCTGTCCGTGCTGGCTTCCTGGGCGGCAAGGCCCTTTGCTCAGCTCCGTGGCGTGAGCCCTAGGCCTGTGCTGGCCGCCCCAGGTGTAGGGTGCCGCTCCCCCGCAGGCACCCTTCATCCTTCAGCATTCACCTCAGGGGGCGTGGACTTGGGGGACTCGTCACCTTTCGGGTGAACAGTGCACTAGGGTTTGAGCTGCTGCCTGTTCCAACTCAGCACCCCCCTCCTCCCGCCGCCCGACCACACGCGTCTCAGGGTTCGCCCCGGCCCGCCTGCAGGAAGTGTGCGCTGTCCGGCCTTCACAGGAAGAGCTGTTTGCGTGCTGCCTCCAGCTGCCACAGGCTCCCGGGTGGCCAGGGTGGTGGCTGCTTCTGAGTGCGGCGGGAAAAGCTGCTGCCCTGGGGGAGTCGGGACCCAGGCTGACCCCTCGCCGCCTCTGTCGCTTCCCAGGTACTACATCAACCTGTGCCAGAAAGTACATAAGGGGCCTCTGGACTGCTCGGACAGAGCCAGCATTTGCAGAAAGACCACGTCTGGGGAGGTGCAGGTGCTGGGGCTGGTTCACACGCAGAAGCTGGACGTCGTGGGTAAGCCCGGGTCCTGGCCGTGGGGCGGCTGCGGGTCTGAGTGTGGGGCCGAGGTGTTCCCGAGTGACGTGGAGGCGCAGCACAGACCTGCAGTGAGACCTCCAGAGGCTGTTCCCACAACGGGTGCTCGGGCCTTCCGGCAGCCCGTGGGTCTCTAAGGGCTACTGTGCAGCCTCTCAGAGGGTCCAGGAGGAAGGAGGGTCCCTCCGAATCTGTGCTCTGGCGGGGGGGTCGCCAGGTACGTGTGCAAGCGTGCATTCGGGAAAGCCGGACAGTTACACGGGAACTTGGTAAAGGCCATGGAGGAGCGCTTTTTCTGTAATGTCTTAACAGTTTGGGAAACAATAAGCTCTTTTCATTAACGTTCATGGAAAATGCCCGCCTAGCAGCTGGTGTTGAGTGTGGAAGTCCGCCTTGCGCTACGGGAAGGAGGCAGGCGGGGCTTTCTCAGCTGAGGAGCAGCTGGGGCGTGTTGGGGGGTCCAGGAAGGAGGACACACGCACCTTTGCCCGCTAGACAGGACTGGGGTCCTCGTGCCGCCCTGATCGAACTGCGGGGGCCGGACTTGGCTCGCAGCCGGTGCCCTGGGGAAGGGCCATTCTGGGGAGCTGCTGTCAGCCTTGACGAGAATCCCGCTGGTTGCGGGATTGAGGGGAGACGCGCCCCGCAGGCAGGGGTGCATGGGCTCCCCTGCCCACGATCAACCCCCTGTGGGGCCTGCAGCTCCTGCCGCCACGTCGGCTGCTTATGGGGCTCGGGCGGAGGGCAGCTCGTCCTGCAACCTTGTGGGTGCAGGTGGCCAGTGGGCGGTCTCCCTCCACCTCCCCTGGCCCCGAGGGAGACGAGGGTGTTTGCGGCTTTGCTGAAGGCTGAGCTCGCAGTAACCTCCTGGTCCCCGACACACCTCCTGAGGACAGTCCCAGTGACCACCCCCGTTCATTTAGGGGCGCCCCCGTGGGGGGAGGAGGGATGGCCTCCCTCCCAGGACCCAGCATGTATCCACAGCGGAGCTTTAGGTGTGTGTGGCCCCCACAGCCTCCTCGGGTGGGGTGGGGTGGGTTCCCGCTGGGGGCTGCTATAGTTCGGCCCACGCCCGTTTGGTTCTGTACTCCAGCAGTTAGAGGATTGCTCTTTAAGGCAGCGGAACGTTAACAGAGATAACACAGAAGCCCCATATTTAAAACATTACCAGCAGGCGCGGCTTCAAGTGTGCCGAGGGCTGAGGGCCTGGGCGTCGCCGGCACTGTCGGGTGGTGGGGCACTAGGCGGCCGTGCCACCAGGAGAGCCCCGGGGAAGCTGGACCTGCTGCCTACACTGTCTCCTCTGCATCTCCTGCCTCTTTCGTGCATGTGGAATCGGGCCGGAGGGGGGCGGTCCTGAGACCTTGCCCTGTGCCCCCAGAGCCACCATCTGTCCCTCGAGCAGGAGCGCGCAGGCCAGCCCCGGGCAGCTGCTCGCAGTGGCTCAGCCCCAGAGCAGGCTGACCGGCCTCTCGCTTTTCGCTCAGACCCTGCACGTGAGGCATCTCAGCCGTCGCTTTCACCAGGTCATTTTCAGGAGCAGGCAGAGCTCAGTGTGGAGCCGAAAGACCCAAGAAAGCCAGAGCCGTTCTGTCTCTGGCGTAGCCTTTGCAGGGCGGAGTCCAGTGCCCGCCCTGCTGCTGGGAGGCTCCAATTGGGGGCATGTCAGGAACACGCCTAAAACGACACAGGAATTGTCCAGAATGCATGGCGATGCGGCCTGCTATTCCCTGAGGTCCGCTCTGTGCGCTCAGTGTGCTGGCGGCGCTCTCCGGGTGCCCCCGGAGCCGGCGGGTCTGGGTGACATCCCGGTCCCCCGCGTGTAGGGACCGAGGCTTGGCGGGTCGTGACTGGGGTCATGAACCTGAGGAGCAGGCAGCTGGACGCGAGCCGGGCCTCTTGCTGGCCCAGCCACGATGGCCCAGCAATGCGTGCGCACAGCGCCAAGCCCCTCTTCAGTCCTGGTCCTCAGGAGAGATTCTGACTTCTGACGTTGAGGGTGTTTGTAATGCCCTGGAGGTAACTTATGTCCCCTTGATCATTCGTGTGTTTCAGATGACAAAGTCATTGTAACGTATTCAAAAGGTGATCCGTGTGGTAAAAACAAGACCATGTCCAGCGTCATAGAGCTGACCTGCGCCCAGACGGTGGGCAGGCCTGCCTTCAAGAGGTGAGAGGGCTGGGAGGGTGTGGGGGCGTGTCCGAACTTCTTTCCGCTTTGCCTGTGGGGTTTGTGGCTGCAGAGCGGGGCGAGGGCGTTGGGGGTCATGATCGGGACAGGCAGGTGCTAGCCTTAGGGCCTGGGCTGGGGCAGGGCTGCTCCCACAGGGAACGTGTGTGGGGTCAGTTTCTAGACGAACGCCACCACCTAAAGCAGCATTTAACTGGCTTCCATGTTTGAAAGTCAGGACCAAAGGGGTATCAACAGGTGGCAGCCAAGGCCTGTGTGCAAGTGGCCTGTCTGGGACCCATGGGCAGGTGGGACCGGCCCCTGGGATGCTCCTGGAACTTACTAGAATGCTTCAGGCAGTTCTGCATCTGGTGTGAGGGCGAGTTTGGCCAACAGGGGGAGCATGTGAGCCGCTTTTTGTGAGTGAGGGATTCTGTCCAGAGCTGGGCTGGAAAAAGGGCAGGAATTGTCCATGGGCTTCATCCATTTGTGAGACTAAGACACTTGTCAAATAAAAATTCAAAAATCCAGGAGCAAATTTTCCCCCAGCTTTTACATGTTGCACGGTTTCTAAGTTTAAAAAACTGTATTAAACCCTTGCCTGCGTTTTCATCTTGTCCATGGACCAGCTGGCCCTTTTCCTGTTATGGTCTGGAGAAAAGGGAACAAAGTGGTCATCCCGGCCCATCACGGGGAGGGCAGGCGGTGGGGCTGCGTGGGGCCCGCGGCCCCTGCGGGCGGCTGGGCGGCTGGCCGGGCGGCTGGCCGGCCGGAGCCCCCGCACAGCCCGGGTCTGCTGGGCGTGACCGCGTCTCCACGCCCCCACCCCCTTCCAGGTTTGACAGGGACAGCTGCACTTACTACTTCAGCTGGGACTCACGGGCTGCCTGTGCCGTGAAGCCGCAGGAGGTGCGGATGGTGAACGGGACCGTCACCAATCCTGTCAACGGCAAGAGCGCCAACCTCAGAGACATTTATTTTAAGTAAGTGCAGCGTTTTTCTTGGAGCCTGCGACAGATTCCACCCAAACCAGCGGCTTGGGCCGTGCCCCGGCGGGAGCGCTGGGAGGGACAGGCTGTGCGCCTTGGTTACTGTTTCTAGGGAGTCGGCATGTTTCACTTCAGCTGAGGGAAAGCGTTGCTCAGCTGCTGAGTTTTAACGCCAAAGATGGTGAATTCTCTTGAGTGTAAAAATAAAGTCGCCACTCCCCCCTCACTTTCTGATAAGCCCAGGCATCGAAGCCAGAACCTTTTGACACGTTTTGATTGGGATTCTATGGGTTTGTCAGCTTCTGAAAAACCAGCCAGTTCCTTGGCAGTGTCACAGGGATGGTTCTTGGGGTCGAGGGGCCGAGGTGGCTGGCTGTGCCCAGGGCAGGGTGAGGCGCGTGGGCTGCTGGACAGCCAGGGAAGGTGCTTTGCTCAGAGCGCGGGCAGGGGGACGGCGGGGACGATGGGGATGGAAGGCGGCACCTGCCGGAGCCTCGCACGCTCACGGACGCGCTGCCCCAGGCCGGGAGAACGCGTCCTGCGGCCCCACGCTCGCTCCCGGGGCTGAGGGGCTGCAGGGTACAGCGTCCTTACGGGGTTGCCAGCGTCATTGCCCTCTTGTCCTCGTCTTCAGGCTATTCAGTGCCTCTGGGGACATAAGGACAAATGGGGACAAGTACCTGTACGAGATCCAGCTTTCTTCCATCACAAACTCCCAAAACCCAGCCTGCTCCGGGGCCAACATATGCCAGGTCAAAATGAACGACCAGCACTTCAGTAGGAAAGTCGGAACTTCCAATAAAACCAAGTACTACATTCAAGGTAATTGCTTTTTTCCGTTGTTGTTCCATGTTTAACGTCCTCGAAAAAAGAACTGGAAAGTGTTCAGGAACTAGCCGCCTTCCATTGATGTCTCAGATGCAGTTTAAGGCAAAGGCCCTGGGCTGCTTCCTGCCCTGCAGGTGCCTGTCCGTGTGAATCGGGCAGCCCGGGCCCCAAGCCCCCCCTCCCCACCCCCGCCGTGCGTGCCCCTGTGTCCCCCCCCACTCCCCGCAGCTCCCTGGCCTGCGGGGGGAGGGGCCGAGTCCGTATGCGGCCCCTTCGCTCTCGCCACCGGCCACCAGTGTGCGGGCCCCCATCCCCGCCCTCCCGTCCCGTAGTTCACTAGAAGGACTCGGGGGGCTCCCTGAGAGCAGTTACGGTTTATTACGGCAGAGGGGCAGCGATTAAGATCAGCCCAGGGAAGAGGCACGTGGGGCAGGTTCAGGAGGCAGCCGACGCGCCCTGCCGTTCGCTCCTGTGGGATCAGTGCGGTAGCAGGCGCTGAGGCTCGCCCGCTGGGAGCTCCCTACCCTCGGGGCCAGGGCTTTGATGGGGGCTGCAGCGCATAGGGTGGGTGGGTGGGTTGGCGGGTTGGCTGGTTTGGTTGGGTTGATGGCTTGTTGGTTGGTTGGTTGGTTGGTTGGCTAGCTGCCTTGGTTGGGTGATTGGTTGGTTGATTGGCTGGTTGGTTGATTGGCTGATGGTTGGGTGGCTGGCTGGCTCACTGGCTGGCTGGTTGCTCATTTCGTGGATCTCAGTCTCCAGGGAGGCTGACGCCTTGTGGCCAGCTGACTCCAAATCATAGTATTAGCTGAAGACAAAAGCCAGATGGCCTTCAGGGCCTGGTGCAGGTTTTCTGCTCACGGAGTGAAGGGAGGGGCTCTGTAACGTGCGTCCCGTGGCCTGTTAGGAGGCACACAGGGGGCATTTGATGAAGGACCTTTGCACCCGACTGAAAGTCGCAAACTTTTCATGGACTCCAAAAAGATAGACTCGGCCTGTGTTGAAAAGGTGGTGGTAACGCTGCTGTGACTGTGTCCCCTTCCTTCCTGACAGATGGTGACCTAGATGTGGTGTTCACCTCATCCTCTAAGTGTGGAAAAGACAAGACCAAAACCGTTTCTTCCACCATCTTCTTCCACTGTGATCCTTTGGTGAAGGAGGGGATCCCCGAGTTCAGCCACGAGACGGCTGACTGCCAGTACCTCTTCTCCTGGTACACCTCTGCCGTGTGTCCCCTGGGGTGAGTGCCGGGTCCGGGACAGCAGGGCTCGCTGTCGGCCACCTTCCTCTTCGGCTGAACGCTTCGCGCCGTACCCCCGCTCCCTCTCTGAAAACTGAGCTCACGCATAAGTCCATGTGCGCGTTTGCTGCCCAGTGTTTCCTTGCAGGAAATACTCAAGCGTCAGCACAATGCAGAGCAGTGATGGGGTGAACCCCACATGGCCGGCTCCCAGCGTCAGTGCCCGTCCACAGCGTGTCCTCGGTCCACTTGTATCGCCCCCGCCCCCGCCCAGTGGCATCGGCTTCTGCGCCCCGGGCTCTGGGTGCCTCTCTTTCTCGTGTCTTCATGTCAGTGTGTCCCTGCGGTGGGGAGGTGGGCAGACTTTGTTTCATCTTTGTTCCCAGAATTCTTTTATTCGTGTTCTAGTACAAGTTGTTAACGTGGTAAATGGCACTTTAACTTGAGCGAAGTGTTTTCTTCGTTTGAATGAAGACTTACCTTACTGATTGTAAAAATCAGCTGGAGGCCTGGTTTCCGTGGAAACGACGTTTCTGCCCTGAGGTCCTTCGGGTGAGGCGAGGGAGGTCCCAGCCTCCAGTGGCCTCGGGGACCTGCCTGTCCCCACCGCGGTTCCTTGGCCCAGCCGCGCTGTCACGGTTAGAGCCCCTCTTCCAAAACAAGGTGTTCTGAGTGGCTTTCCTCTTGGCTTTGTTTTCTGTTGCATCCCCGTCACTGTCTCGCAGAAGCTTCTTGCTCTGTGTCCAGAGCCGTGGATCAGGAGACAAACACGTTCTGGCTGGGTCAGCGCTGTCCTCAGCCCCCGCAAAAGGGACCTGCAGGCAGCGGGAAGCAAGGGCAGGGCCCACCGGCGGGTGCCCCGTCACGCCCTGGGGCCCTCTGACCAGCAGCCGGTTTACTCTCTGTGGTTGCTGGTGCAGCTGGGAAAAGAAAGGTCAGCCTTGTCCTACATTTTCCAGGCATGTGGATGTGACGCAGGTCTCAACAAGTTTCTAAACGCTGGCGTAAAGGACGTACGTGGTGCAACCACGTTAGGAACAGTGATAAGAAACCAGCTGAAGACTAGAAATACATTTGGAAACTAAGACATACCTCTAAGTAATTTATGGATTACAGAAGAAAGCACAAATGGAAGTGAAAAACACCCTTAGAGCCAGGGGATAGGGAACGTCTGACGTCAGCCACTGCGTGCGTCTGAGGGGGTCCTGAGTGGCCCGGTGGGTTCCGGCAACGCTGGTTTCTGGCTTTGGGGGCCGGGGCCGCAGGGGACTCACGTGGGTCTGCCATGTCGTGACACCCCCACCTTGGCAGACGTAACAGATACAGCCAAGCTGGGACTGAGCTCCGTCCTCTCTGAGGGTCTGGAGCCCAGGTCATGTGGTGCAGGCTGAGATTTGATTGCAGCAGTTACACTTACGGGGTCCAGTCGTCATTTGCCCTTCGACACCGATTTTTTTAATTAAATACCTTTCTGAATGCGTAGCCAGCAGCTTCAGCGCCCCAGCTCATCCCACGTGTGTGACCTGTGGAGTCTCCCTCTCATACCACACGGCCAGCTGTTTCTGGCCGCTGCTGTCTGCCTTCTGGGGTGGGGGGGGATTTCTGTACGTGATCCTGTTACTGTCGGGCTGGGGGCCCTGAGTGGCCCAGGGCCAGAAAGACTGGAAGTGTCAAGTCACTGAGCCAGGGCAAGTCCTCTGAGCAGAAAGGGATTCGGGGAGACGTTTCTAAGTTTGTATTAGCCGTTTTCCTTGACTGTTCGGTGTCATGGACGTGCAGTGCTTTCCTCGCACTGGCTGGGGTCGGTGAAAACTTAGCTGACCGAGCGGTTGTGTGACTCGCCCTGCCCCTGGGACTTAGACTGGACAGAGGCTGCCTGCCCTGCGCTGTGGTGTCCTGCGGACATGCCCCCACGCCCGGGAAGTGCCGAGGCCGTGTCCCACAAGGCCGTGTTGGGAGGGAGAGGCTGGAACTGGGCTGCGATGCCCCCTTATTCCCAGAGCAGAGGGCTGCGGTCCGGGAGGCACGTGCGGCCAGCCCGGCTTTGCCTCTGTGCCCTGGGAGCCCTGCGGAGGCACGGGAGCGAGCTGAGGAGGGTGGCCCTCAGTCGGCTCTCTCGCTTCCTTCGTACGGCCCGCGGGCCTGAGGCAGAGCCCGTCCGCCAGTCTCCATGTCTGGTGGGTGTCGGCTCACGTGCGGCCCTCGTGCAGTCCGAGCCGCTGCCCGAGTTGCGGGTGCCCGGGGTCCTCGCCGCAGCAGCAGGACCCCCGAGTGACCTGGCCTTCCTCCAGGGCGGGCTACGACAGCGAGGACGCTGGTGAGGACACGCAGGAGCACAAGGGGCTCTCGGAGCGGAGCCAGGCCGTCGGGGCCGTCCTCAGCCTGCTGCTGGTGGCCCTCACGGGCTGCCTGCTGACCCTGCTGCTCTACAAAAAGGAGAGACGGTGAGGAGAGGGACGTGGGCAGGCCACAAGGCCAGTGGGTCAGAACCGCAGCTGGGGTTTGGTTTTTTGGGGGCCCAGCTGGAGCCACAGCTCTAAGTGAAAACTGTGGAGTGGTCTCTGGTTGCATCAGTGTCTGCACTTCTGAGACAAGGTGTCCCTTTGACCAGAGCCGTGGAACCTGCCCCTGGTGTTCAAGGCAGGTCCCACCACTCACGTCACACGGCGACACTCTGTGTGCTCCTGCCTGGCTGGCCTGTTTTCAGGACAACTGTCTCTGAACGTCCAGAGGTGGAGAGAAAACTAAACACCTGTCAGCAGCAGACTTCCTTCTGACCTACTCTTTCCTCCCCTCCCCCTTCTTCAATAAAGTGGTCACTTATTAGGCACCTGCCCTGCGCCAGGTATAACGCTGTTGTCCTGGCTCCCCGCTCCTGGGTGCAAAGGCTTGTCACTCATCGTATGGGCCTTTCCAGTGGATTTTCAGCTACATGCGATGGAGGCATGGCGCTCAGAGCCCTGTGTGGCCATCCCGTCCCGGGGCAGAGGGGCAGGCCAGCCCCGGGCTCCTGCCCTCTCTTATCTGCCACATGAGCCAGAGGCGAGCAGAGGGTCTGGGCGAGGGCCTCTGGGGCTCAGTCACCCAGCCCCAGTGGTTGTGGGGTTCAGGAAGGCGTGGTCCCCTCACAGTTGTGTGTGACAGAGGCAAAGCAGCACAGTCTGACAACTGGCTTCAGGCCTTGTGAAACCTCTTAAGAGGTGGAGCAGGATTTGAACCCATTTCTGTCTGATGCCAGAGCGTTCCTGCCGCTGAACTGGTTTCTTACCCTGCCCTGCTGGGTTTAGTGCACCCGTCTGTGGCGGGGCGCGCTGGGGGGGCGGCGGGGGGTGCAGGCTTCTCCGCTGGAGCGGGGGGCAGCTGGTCTGGGGGGCGCCCGCCCCGCCGGTTCCGCCCGGAGTGACTGGTTTCTTACAGGGAGGTGGTGATGAGTAAACTAACCGGCTGCTGTAGACGGAGTGCAGACGTGTCCTACAAATACTCGAAGGTAATTTCCTGCCTCCCTCTCCCCCCGCGATGTCAAGCTGCGGATAAAACGTCATCACCAGCAATTCAAAATAGAAAAGGGAAAACACTCACCAGTTGCTTTTAATCCAAACACATTAGCCTTTTTCTTTCTTTTTTTTTCCCTTCAAGTTTTTCTCATCGGGGATGCAGCTGAGTTCCTTAGAGCACTTTATATTTAGGTCGCTCCTACTTTTTTGGCTATTCTAAAAAAGCGTATATGATAATGTCAGTTTCCGTGCATCTGGCATTTGGATGATTTCTTTCAGATAGATTTCCAGGAAAGAGGCATTATTTGGACCAAAGGGCGTAAATACGCTCAGGGCTCCCCATGTGTCCATCCAGACTGCTTCCTAAAAGGCTTCCTGGTTAGACGCCTACACGCGTCTGCACGGCTCCTCTTCCCGACGACTCCCGCCCCAGGCCACCGGCTCTTGTGGGAGGAGCCCGGACTCGCTGGCTCGCTCTCCTGCCCCGGGGACGCTGTCTGCCTGGTTGGGCCTTAGCAGAAGCGGGCAGTCCCAGCCCTCGCCTTCCTCTCCCTGGTGGGGACTGGGACCATGGTGGCCACGTGGGCCGGGAAAGAGGGTCCCGCTTTGCGCGGGTGGTGGGAGGGGAGCGGGGAGCAGGGAGCAGAGGGAGGTTTGGGGGGGGGGGGCTCCACGAGCTCTGCCCTGACCCTGCAGGTCAACAAGGAGGAGGAGGTGGATGAGAACGAAACGGAGTGGCTGATGGAAGAGGTCCAGGCGCCGACCCCGAGGCCCGGGAAGGAGGGGCAGGAGAACGGCCACATCACCACCAAGTCCGTGAAAGCCGAGGCCCTCACCTCCCTGCACGGGGACGACCAGGACAGCGAGGACGAGGTCCTCACCATCCCAGAGGTGCGCGTTCACTCGGGCCGAGGGGCCGGGGCGGAGAGCGCCCACCCGGCGAGAACCCCGCAGAGGAAGACGCTCCGGGACGACAGGGCAGGGCTGGTGGGCGGCGAGCAGGCGCGGAGGGCGCCCCCCAGGGCCGCGGCGGCCCCGCCGCCCGGGAGCCCCAGCGGCCTGGCTTCCTTCCACGACGACAGCGACGAGGACCTCTTGAACATCTGAGCTCCGGTGCCTCCCAGGGGACTGGGGTGGCGGCCCAGCCAGGCACCTCCAACCAAATAAGACTTCACCTTGATGATGCTTCTGTCCTGTTTGCCTTTAACAAAAACTGTTTCAAAAGGGAAGGATTTTTGTGATGGGGGAGAGGGTGAGGAGGTCCGGCACCGCTCACCCGTGGTTGACCGTGTCACGGAACGAGGCATCACTCCAGTTGCCAAAGGGCGGTGCTGGGGCCCCGGGTTTTGTCCCAAGTCCTCATTTGAAAGCGTGGCTGCCGTGCGCTTCATAACCCGCGCCCGGGCCAAGTGCATCTGGGGACAGAGGGCTCTCTATCGGAGAAAAACCCTTGCTGCTTTAGGCCCTGTAGGGTATTTGGCCATTATATTTTAGCATTTACTTCTCTCCTCCTATTTATTGACTTTGACAATTACTCAGGTTTGTGAAAAAGGAAAAAAAAAAAAAACATAACCACCCAACAGCTTCTCCCCGGCAGCAGGGGGCGCGCCAGTTCGCCTGCTGTCGAGGGGAAAGCGTCAGTGCCGGGTTGGTTCCATATGCGATTCTGAACTGGTCGATGATGTATCCTCTAAGTTAGAATACTCCACTTTGTCTCTCTTCCTCTTGGCTTTCTGTTTCCTACGGGCACACGCACGTGCGCACACACGCCCGTACAGGGGTCCCCGAGTGCCTGGGCTTCGGAGGGTTCGCCTGCTCCCTGCCTTCAGTGACGGCTGCAGCTTTTTGCATGACATCTAGAGTCCTAGGTGCGCAGAGCACAGTTCTCAGTATTTCCTTCGCTGGCTGATGAATTCAAACAACCCACCCAAAGATCGGTTGTGTGTGTGAGGGGGGGGGTTGAGATGCTGGAGAAGGTAACTTTGTCCATCTCACCTCTTCAGGTTCTCACGATACCACCATGACTGTGCTTATTTTTTTAAGAAAAAAGTGTTTATCCACCATTCGACCCACACGAAGCCTTAATTTGCACAGTGCGTGACTTACGGAAATTGCATGAACGCCGCAGGCTGGAATCGCGCCCCCGGGGTTGCGCTGGGACCCCTGCGGCGGGTGGCCGGGTCGGGGCAGCACTGCGGTCCCCCCACCCCTGTTGGCTCCTTTCTTGAAGTGTTTAATGGATGACTTTTCTCTTATTCTAGAATTGTACATAGACTCAGTGGTAGTCATATACTGAAGAGCAAACCACCCGACAGAATTCATTGGTTTGTACTCAGTTTGACTGGCTTATTTGATTTCAACATGAGTATTTTTTAAAATTGATTTCTTTCCTCATTTTTTTCAATCAAATTTACTGTAATATAAAGTATTCAACAATTTCAATAAAAGATAAATTATTAGCTGGGTGTGCCTGCTTTTTCCCCTGGAGAGGGGGAAGTCGCGCGCGGCCGCCTGCCTGGGTGTCTGCTGCCTGCGGTTGTGGGTGTCTGTGCTCAGCTGTCCCCGCACGTCCCCGCCGGCCCTCTGCGAGTGGGCCCTCTGCTCGCTCTCTGAGGTCTTCCTCGCGGGTGGGCGCTCACCAGAGGTTGCTGTGCCTGCTCTCAGCTTCGTGCAGGCCTGTGTCTTGCCAATGGCTGAGAAAGCAGGCCTCAGGGTGTTCCCTGGTCACTAAAGCCACGCCGGGGAGTGGGTGCCAACAGCACCGCGAAGCGTCCAGTGTGCAGCCCTGTCTCTCCGGGGCTGGTTCCTCTCGTACAGACTCCAAGTCTCCACTGGAAATCACTGACTGGTACTGAGGTCTGTCACTGGGCATTCACACAGACATGGCAGAAAGTCGCCACCACGTCCAACTAGGCTTCTTGGACTCGACATCCTTCCCTGCATCTAATTTTTGAGTTATTCAGATGGAGTTAGTTCCTTACTCCTATTGAGGATTCCACAAGGCCTGTCCTGAGGGACACTCGGGGGTCTCACAAAGGTTCGTGTTAGGTATGAGTCAAGGGTTGCTGGTCCCAGGCATTGCATCTGGGGGCTGGTCTCCAAGTGCCCCCTTCCTGCTACCACCCCAGAAGCCCTCAGTCATATGGGGCGCCTGCAGGCACTCGAAGGCCCTGCTGGTCACTCGGCGGTGCCGGGGGAGATCTGTGCCCGCAGCCCATGGCCGCCCGTGCAGGCGGAGAGGGCCGGCCGTGGCATGGGGGAGGCGCTTGCTCGGACTCTCGGGAGGAGTGGACAGTCTAGATTGTCTAGGTGACCCCCACGCTCCAGCCTCAAGCCCCTGCAGACAGAAGTGCCGTCCTGGACAGCTGCTGTTACAGGCGGTTTGGGGAACACGTGCCCCGGGAGCCAATAGGAGTCGGACCTTCTCAGAGAAAGGGAGCCACTGACAGGCGTAGGCCTTGGTGCTTAGCTCCCTCCTGACCAGCTTTCTGAGGCTGCCCGCTGGACGGCAGAGAGGAGGGACACGTGCCGAGGGAGTCCAAGGAAGGGGGAACCTGGCTGTCAACCTCTCAGCCTTTCAAAAGCATTTGAGGCCAATGGGCTGCCACCAAGTGCTGACATACACAAGGCGCTGGACGAGTCCTTCAGGAAGGCTGACTGCCACCTGGGCATTTTAAAAACATACCTTGGGATAGTCCTACCCTGTATGTGGGGTGAAGGACTAACAGCAGGTAGATCTTACCTCTGTTCTTGGGAGTCAGGTCCCAGGGGATAGTGTGGAGGTTCGATATTACAGAAATCCCCTTCCCTCCTGGCTGGTGTGGCTCAGTGGACTGAGCGCCGGCCTGTGAGCCAAAGGGTCGCTGGTTCAATTCCCGGGGAGGGCACACGCCTGGGTTGCAGGCCAGGCCCCCAGGAGGGGGTGTGTGAGAGACAACCAGACACTGATGCTTCTCTTCCTCTCTCTCTGCCTCCCATCCCCTCTGTCTAAAAGTAAATAAATAACATCTTAAAAAAAAAAAACCCATCACAGCTCCTGAAGATACCCCCGACTTTGAGGGGCATGCACACGACTCATCCCTCCAGCTGCACTCCGTCGGCTTGGGGTCGGCCTCGTGCCCTCGAACAGGCTTGCGGTGTGCCCTGGCGAGGGGGCACCTGGGCAGCCCTTGTTCGAGTGCCGGCGTGTGGGGATGGCTGAAGTGCCAGCTCCCAGCACCTCAGAGTGCGACCTCATTCAGACACAGGGTCTTCACAGAAGTAACCAAGTGGAAGCCAGGTCAGCAGGGTGGTCCCTAACCCACTGTGACCCGTATCCTTCCAGAATGGGGGTTTGGACAGAGACAGCCACATGGAGGGAAGAGGATGTGAAGGCCACAGGGAGGGGGATGGCCATGCACAAGCCCAGGAGAGGGGCCTCAAACAGGCCCTGCCTGAGCCTCAGAGGACCGACCCTGCCCGTGCCTCTGTCTGCTCCTCAGATTTATAGGGAACATGGTGCAGAAAAACCCGTTTGCTCCCTTGTTCGTGCATCCATTCAAGGGGTCCTGGATGTCCATTTCAGGCCAGGAGCTGCGGCGCAGGGCGGAGCTGTCTCCAAGGCCCACGGTCCCCAGCCTCTCCCCGTCGCTGCTTTCCCTGCCTGAGAAATGCTTTCAATCCAAGACGGGGACCTGAAGGGCCACCAGGAGGACAGATGTCGCTGAACGCCCTTCCCCCGTTGCTGCGACCGTGGCTGCGGGTTGGCTGTGAGCGCTCGCATGAGCTTCAAGACCATCATCTGCCCAGAGGTCCCCCATCACCACCCCCCCGCCCCGGTCTGGTCTGCAAGCTCAGAACGGGCTCGCAGGCGCCAGCCACGGCCCGGCCCCGCTTGCTCACGCTGGGCGGGCGCCCTGGCCTTGCTCAGCCCGGCCCTTGCGGTGAGATGCAGGAGCAGGGGCGGGGCCCTGCCTGAGTCTTGGCAGCCGGGGCTGGAGGGCCCGATGGTCAGCTCCCAGCCATGCCCTGTGGCGAGCAGGCCTCGGGCTATTTCCCCAAGGAGGGTGAGGTGGCCCGGCCCCCGTGTATGCTCAGGGCACAAACAGCAGGAGGCAGGGGGCATCAAGGCCACCTTACCACTGGCCTCCCCCTCCTGCTTGTCCTCACTTCCTGTCCACCCCCTGCACCCTGCCTACCTGCCAGGTGTAAGGAGTACGCCAGGCTGAGGGCCATTTGTGCTCTGAGGGGCCCCCCAGAGCCCTTTGCCTGCTGCTGTCCCTGTGCGAGACAGGGTCCCTTGGAGATTTCAGGCTCTCGTGACAGGGCGGGCCTGGTGAATGCTGCCCGCTGCCCTTGGTTCCTGAGACACAAGCCCTGGCCCTGTGGACCCAGCAGGAAGAAGTGGCCTGTCCCCGGAGCCCCGTGGGGCGCTCCCCATTTAGTACAGCCCCAGGTTTTTCCCAGGGGCCTGGCCCGGCTTCCCCGTGTGCCCAGATGTGTCACGGGCAGCAGCTGGGTGTGAGTGGGGGAGGGCAGGCATGTGGCGGGTGTGCAAGCTTTGCAGGTGACTCTGTGTAACAGGGCCTCAAAGGAGCCTGGGGCAGAATCTTCAGCGGGAGGTGTGTTAGCAGGCGAGGCCAGAGGCCCCTTTCTCCAGCGCCAAGTGCACCCTGGCTTCTCTGGGGGCAAGACTGGCCCAGGACACTTCAGGAAGGGCAGCAGGGACACCTGACAGACAGCCATTGGTCGCAAAGTTTCGAACGACAGACAGAACACAGTGCCTGAGGCGCTAGTGACGTCTGGTGCGCACAGAACACTGTCTGGGCAATGTGGGTGGTGGCCACGAAGAGGCAGGTGGGCAGGTGGCGGTGGGACCGGGACAGGCAGATGACGCCCGGCCGTGGTGCGCTGCCCCGCGTCCTGCTGAGTCGTAAGGGGAGCAAACAGCAGCGCCCGTAGGGGTGGGAGTGGCCTGAGCAGTGGCTCGTCTGCTCTCCCGCCGCCCCGCACTCCCCCGCCCCGGGAGCTGTGCCACCCTGGGGCGCAGACAGCAGGGGACCCCGAAGTTCTACCCGTATTTTATTTTAACAAGTGCTCATGTCAAGGAGGGCAGTGGCCCGCCATACAGAACATGAGGCACGGGCTGCTCGGCAGGCGGGTGCGGCGGCGGGCATCTCCGTGCCCACCCCCTGTGCCTGCGCCACCGCAGACGCGGCACCCCTGTCCCCAGGCCCACGCTCGGTCCACTGGGGACGGGCTCCAACCCCAGCCGCCCCACAGGCCACCCCACAGGTCGGGGTGGCTGCACAGGCAGGCACGGGGCCGCGCCGGGCACCCTGTGTGGATGGCCACGAGTGCCGTTTGGGGTGTTCTAATGTAACAGGCTGGCCCCAGATGGGGCCCCTTTTCACATCACACCCCCGAGATGAAAGTGTGTGAAGCTACAATCCAGACAGAAGTCCACCCAGCCACACGGCAGGCACCTGCTCCCGGGTGAACGAATGAATGAAATGTGCAGCTGGTAACCGTCAGGAAAGAAAGCCAGCCCAGCCCAGCCCAGAGGAGGCGCGGGCGGGTCGTGTTCGCTGTGG